TTGTGTTCTGGAGCTTTCAAAAAGACCAAAATACTGCGAATTCGGGATGTGGTTCGAGCTTGCAATCAAGAGTCGTCTTGGTGGTGCATCCAGATTGAAGTGTGAATAGCTGCTTCTTTGCTGAACTATTTTAATTGTTCAAGTTACTTAATTTGTCAGTGTTAGCCCGGGTCTGAAGATAGTGCAAAATCAATCGCCCGGAGACTGCAAAATCAATCCCAACTGCAATCATGTACCGTGTGACACGTGACTATGTTGGTGCGGCTCATCTAGGGTTCTATGGTTCGAAAAGCTATGGGACAGCTTCAATTCACGAATTGACTTACGCACCTTTACCTGCTTCTGGTGTGTGAATGGCCTGCAATTCTCTGGCGTTTTTGGTTTTGATCGAAGTTGGCTTTTGAATCTTGATTTTCAAGAAATGAATAACTTGTTAAAAGCACCATTTCTTCACCCTTCCAACTTCCAAGGCTAGCAGAGTTCAGAACCGAGCATATTCTCTAGTGCCTTCCTATTCCGAGATTGGGCTTTGTGGTAATGTTCTCATCATTTTTTGGGAACGGGGCATATGAGTTTTGGTTCTGGAAGTCTATTCTTTGCTGACCAAGCTCCATAAATTTCGATTGAGGTAAACCTACTTACTGGGCCGCTTCTATGGAAGACATACAAGTGAAAGGCAGAATACCTAGAAAAAAGTTTTGTTGCTATGTGAAGTTTTATTCGACCAACAAGCAATTAGAGTTTGGTAAAGCTCCTTGTCGTATGGATGATTAGTTTTGTATCGTGAGTCGACAACAAATTATTGCTAGAATCACAACACGTCGGCTTTTTAGATGAAATCATAGCCGGAGAACAAGACACTATGTGACTGAACCTGCACTGTCTTCGAGTAAGCTTTTTGAGTCTCAGAAAAGCCACAGTCACCACGTCGAAAGTGCATTGTTCTGTTGGAAGTCCAAGAGAGTAAAGAGAATAAATCACCAAGAAAATCACCGCAGAATGGCGGCATGAAATTTTGCAGATACATTATATCATTGCTCAATTACAAACTTTCTGACAAAGAATGAACAATGATCTCAAGCCCGATATTGAGGTTGTCTTTCCTCGCTCCTGAATCATTGAGTGGAATGAGCAATTGAGGGCTTTCGCAAATGAGCCAAATAAGCCCTATTAAAGGAATCATATGTATTTGCGTTCCAAGACTCTTCCACTATGGAGCAGTTGCGTCAGCTTGAGGATTGTAGTATCGGATATGAACACAGAGACAATGCCTGTTATAGAGCCTTGCTGGCGGAATCAAAATTTTATACCCAACCGGTCTGAAGATAACACGGTATGATATGTTTCGTATGTTAGGATTAATTGGCTAGAGACGCTAAAATCGACCAGGACATACCCTCGTTACTCGAAATGGAAGGTTGCACAGGTGACCAAGAACCAAATACGTCACTGGCCTTCAAAAACTTGTTTTAAAAAATGAAAAATCCCGGCCCGGAACGTATCACGATAATTCGAGCAGAGAAAGCAGAAATATGTGCCGACCAATTCAGGACTACATATGTCGCCATTGATATGTTTTCAACATGGGGTTGATGGTAAGATAGTTAGACACTGGGCGAAGATATTGTTATTTTCAACGATGAAACCGGTGCTGAAAAGACTTTTAGCCCGAAAGGGAGCTCATCAGCAAAACACTCAATGGCATGTTTAGACAGCTGTAGCTCCCCAAGCCAGGCTATTCTCTTAGTTTAGTGACTTGGCCACCCCGGCTCATTGAACATCGAGCCGTTCTTGTCAGGGCTTTGATGAAATTTCGAATATGACCACAAATATGAAGTGATGTGAATGGAGGAACTTTACGGGCATCCAACTCAGTATTCTTTTTCGGCCCTGCAGTGAGTATTAATATATTTTTTTGAATATATATACATATAAATACAAAAATATTCAAATATAAATACAGATGATATGAGTAGTTCCTATATACACACAAATTTACTTACAAATGTAAAAAGAAATATGCATACAAATATGCATACAAATAGACATACAAATAGACATACAAATAGACATACAAATAGACATACAAATAGACATACAAATAGACATACAAATAGACATACAAATAGACATACAAATAGACATACAAATTCAAAAACAAATATGAACACAGCTATGTAGACAATTACAAGTACTAAATGAAAACAGATACAAACATAAATATATATGTTTCTCCACTCAGTACACCCTGTCTCCGGGCCATCCGGTGCACATCAGCAAACCTGAACCACGCGCAGAAAATTGCCTCTGCCCCGCCAAGTTGCGTTCAACTTCCTGCAAAAAAACGCCTGGCTCCAGCTGTTGCACGGGGTCCCATTCACCAACAAGTTCCGAGTCCGGGTTTTCAGCTTTTCTCCAAACACCACAAGCTTGGCCAAGGCCGTATTCACTATTTCTGGACGCATATCACCAATGTATAGTCGAGCATAGTGGGCACTCTGCGGTGCCTGCTTTTAATACATACTTCCTCATATCTCCTCCGAGACATGTCACAAGTTCTGCATGTTTTCCAGTATGCACGTTACCAGATTATGTTTTTCCGATCCACATACGATATTCTTCATTGTTATGCACAATGTCATAAAATACTTGTCTTATTACAAGTTGTAGTCATGTTGGAGCCTGCGTATGGAACATGGTTTTATTACCTGGTGTCTGAAGGCAGATCCCGAGTTTGTAATGATGTCTGTACGAAAGCATGTCTGGCCAGTCTTGAGAATTCCGGATGCACCCAGCGATGCACCATAAATGCCCGTACCCACACATATTGTGCTGGTGCCTAATTGGCTGACCTACTTTGCCGAATTATTGAAGCGTATCCAGCTGATTTACCTGCACCTCCTCCAAATAACAATGGCCCCGTTTCCTGGCCCGGTCCCCGAATAGATGTACAAACTAAGTTCACGTATACCATATGAGCGCTTACAAATGGCGTCTCCGCAAAAATTCATCAACATACCACGAATGCAATATATTCGGGAAATGCAACACTGTTGATTTGGGAGCGGGACCTGCATTGTTTACTCGGTTTGAACATGGGTGGAAACAAGATGACACAGGTTCAGAAGGGATGTCGCTTGTTTGTTTTTTAGATTTCAATATCAAAGCCGGCCTTATTTTCTGGCACTATTTCCTGGCCGCATTTTCTGGCGCTATTTTCTGGCGCTATTTCCTGGCCCCATTTCCTGGCCCCGATTTCTAGCCCCATTTCCTGGCCCCATTCGCTAGCCCCAATTTCCAGCCCCAATTTCCAGCCCCAATTTCTAGCCGCATTTCCTGGCCGCATTTCCTGGCCCCGATTTCTAGCCCCATTTCCTGGCCCTATTTTCTAGCCCCATCTCATTGCCCCATTCTCTGCCCCTAATTTCTAGCCCCATTTCCTGGCCCGATTTCCTGGCCCTATTTCCTGGCCCTATCTCATGGCCCTATCTCATGGCCCCATCTCATGGCCCCATTCTCTAGCCCCAATTTCTAGCCCCAATTTCTAGCCGCATTTCCTGGCCCCATTTCATGGCCCCGATTTCTAGCCCCATTTCCTGGCCCCATTCGCTAGCCCCAATTTCCTGCCCCATTTCCTGCCCCGGTCCCTGCCGCAGCCTTTTTTTCTGGCCCAATGCAAGTTGGCGCCGCGCGCTCCGCAGGCCAGGGCCGCGCGCCCCAGCCCATCGGCCTTCTGCGCACAGTCAACTGCCTCCTCCCCTCCGTTCTTCTCCCTTCAACCACGCGTGAAAAACACGCACTTCTCCGGATTTCTAGTGTTCCGCCGCCCGCCAAGCACGCCAGGCCCGCCGCCCCCGCCGCCCCGCCGCCCGGAGCCCCCCTCGCCAGCCTGTCGCCAACCGCAGCAGCACCGCCCAAGACCCGCCTCCCCAGCGCCTGAGGCCGCCTTGCCCCGCGCCGCCATGCAGCCAGAACACGCCGAAACCGGCGCCGCCGCCGCCGCCGAAACCGGCTCCGCCGTCGGCAAAAACGACGCCCTCGCCACGGACGACGGGCTCGACCAGGCCATCCAACGGGCCATCGCACAGCATGACTTGGAGCAGCAGCAGCTCCAGCAGCAGCAACAGCAGCTCCAGCAACAGCAGCACCAGCAGCAGCACGCGGCCGCGGCGCGTGCCGCGACGCCCGGGCCCGCTGCTGCCGAACGGCTCTCGCCGCGTCCGCAGGGCCCGCGTGCCGGCGGATATATGGGCGGACCCGACCAGCGGCACCCACAGGCGCCCGCGCTGCCGCCCGGCGTGGACATGCACGCGGCGCTCGGCGTGGCCGCCATGCCGACGCTGCCGTTGTTGGACGCCGCGCAGGAAAAACAGCACTTGCAGATGATTGCCGCCGAGTTGAAGCGCGCGGCGTCGGACGCCTCGGTGGAGCCGCGCGTGAAGGCCGAGCAGGCCGAGCGCGGCGGCTCGGCGCCCGTGCTGCCGCCCGGGTTTCTGGGCCTGGAGGGCCTGCCGCGGCCGGCCGCCCAAGGCGCCGCGGGAGACCGTCTCCATGAGATCGTGGAGGGCCGGGGAGATCTGACCGCGGCACGGGAAGCCCGGGGCGATCTCCGCGATATGGATAGTACCGGGGGAGAATTCCGTGATATGGGTAGTACCGGGGGAGATCTCCGTGATATAGATGGCACCCTGGGAGACTTTCGTGATATGGATGATACCCGGGGCGATCTCCGTAATATGGATGATACCCGGGGAGATCTCCGTGATATGGATGATACCCGGGGAGATCTCCGTGATATGGATGGCACCCTGGGAGATTTCCGTGATATGGATGATACCCGGGCCGATCTCCGTGATATCCATAACTCCCATGGAGATCTCCACGCTGCGGATGGCACCCCAAGAAACCTCCAGGACATCCCCCCAGAAAGATCCCCCCACATCGGCTCCCCCCACAACGGCTCCCCCCGAGCGTCGCCCCCCGCCGCCCCGCCCGGCCACATCCCCGCGCACTCCGAGCTCTTGGCCACCAACTCCGCCGTGGCAGCGTACAAATCGCTCTCCAGCCTGGGCCTGGCCACGGCGCTGCTCGCCAGCGCGCACTTGGCCGCGCTCCCGCTCCCGATCGTGCCCACCAACTACATGCCCGCGCGCATCCAGTTGCTCGTCAGCACGTTGGCCGTGTTGGACAACTTGGCCACGCAGTTGCTCCGCGTGTTCGCGGCCGGGCCGTACCAGAAGATCATCGACTTGGCGTCCAGCCCCGACACCGCGCCCGGCGCCGCGTTCCGCGACTTGACGTCGCTCTTCGAGTTCTCCAAGCGGCTCTACTCCGAGGAGGACCCGTTCCTCTCCGTGGAGCACATTGCGCCCGGCATCTGGAAGGACGGCGAGAAGACGCCCAGCATGTTCCGCTCGCGCGAGCAGACCATCGAGCTGACGCTCCGCAAGGTCAACTTGGCCACGTTCCTCGCGGCCACGCTCGGCACCATCGAGGTCGGCTTCTTCCACTTGAACGAGTCGTTCCTCCACGTGTTCTGCCCGGCCAACGACTTGGACCCGGCCAACTCCATGTCCAACATGAGTGCCAGCAACACCAACTTGCAGAGCGGCGCGGGCTGCCACATCGGCGAGAAGTGCGGCAAGCTCCTCAAGCCCCAGGCCAGCTTGTACCTCGACTTGAAGACCCAGGCCTACATCTCGGCCGTCGAGGCCGGCGAGCGCTCACGCGAGGAGATCTTGGAGGACATCCTCCCGGCAAACCTCGAGCACGTGCTCCAGGAGCGCCGCGCCACCAAGGTCTTGAGCCCCACCGAGATGGACTTCGTGCACCGCTGCCACTCGCGCAAGGAGATGCTCTTGAACTACCCGCCGGACCAGAACCTCAACGAGGAGTACGAGTGGTTCGAGTTCTTGAAGGAGTTGTTTGAGTTTGTGCTGAAGAACATGGGCTTTCTCCTCTGGGGCAAGAAGGGCAAGCCCCCCTCCAACCGTGCGCCGCGAGGCGCCGTGGCCAGTGCTGCGGCAAACCCCTCGCCGCCCGCGGCTTCCTCGACACCGCACAGCGACGAGGTGCTTCGCGAAATGCCGCCATACGTGCGCCCAGACCCGGAGCTTCCTGGACGGGCAGAGGGCAAGGGCCTCGACGAAATCACCGCCGCGCTTCTCCCCAGTGAGATCCAGGAACAGCAGATTCACCTACGCATCAACCCGGGCATCAATTCCAAGGGCCCCAACAGGCGGCCCTGGACCCGCCAAGAAGAGAAGGCGCTACGTCATGCCATGGAACTCAAGGGCACGCAGTGGTCGGTGATCCTCGAGCTCTTTGGCCAAGGTGGCCGGATCAACGAGTCGTTGAAGAACCGCACCCAGGTCCAGCTCAAGGACAAGGCGAGGAACTGGAAGATGTTCTTCCTCAAGGCGGGCCTCGCCGTGCCTAACTACCTACAAAAAGTGACCGGCGACTTGGACAGGGACGACAAGCTGCGAGCGAAACTGGCTCGCAACAAGAAAACTGCCGCTGCGCCCGTGCCTACGGTGTCCAAGCGGGATGACGGCCCCGCTGACACTTCCTCGGACAACATTGACGATGAGTTGAGGAAGAAAAGACGCGTGGAGTAGAATGCCGCGGCCATAGGGTACCGCTGCATAAGCGATGACGAGATGCACCGGTGACGGGACGTGTTTTTTGTCTCCGTGCTCTAAGGACTCGGTAGATGCAAGACTTATAGAACGCAACGACAGCTGCGTGCGTATTTGTAAATACAAGCGTGTGAGACACTCTCGCTAGTGTCGAATTTAGAAGCACCAAGCCTATTCGCTCACCATCACCGCATGCGGCTCGTCGTGCTGCATCAAGAATGCACACTGCGGAAGCACATGTACAGGTGGATGCCAGATTAGGATAGGTCCTTGCATGAGCCTGACACATCGGAGAGTAACGGCAGTTTTATGTTTTTTTGTGGGCCAGCCGCCGCAATTCTCGTCCCGCCGTCGCTACTCTCGCTCTGAAACTCCGCTGAGTTGTTTTTTCCGCAACAGGCAAAACTATCTCCACGCTTATCTGAAATCATCTCAAAACGCCACACCACTAAAATGCTGAGCGTCGCGGAGCCAATGTCGGCAAAATTACTTGTGGCCAAGCAGACTTGCCAGGTGTTATACTCGGAACTACAAAAATCTAATTTGGCTATCCAGGATACCACGTTGAAACAAGCCAGCGCAAACTTGCCCCAAATACCCCCGAAACGTTATCTCCGGCAATACAACACACTCAAGGGCCATCAAGACAAGATTGCCCAGATCAAATGGAGTTCGGACTCAGTCAAACTAGTCTCCGCATGTCAAGATGGCTTCATGATTATATGGGACTCTGTTTCAGGGCTCAAACTACAAGCCATTCCGTTGGACAGCCCATGGGTGCTTCTGTGTGCCTTTGCACCCTCGGGCAGATTCGTGGCACTGGCCGGTCTTGATAATCGGTGCACAATCTACAAGGTTGAAGACCCTAATGATCCCCAATTGCGCACGAGAACAAACACAATGGAACTCAGAGATCAAGGGCGCAAAATCCCAAGGGCACATGCAGCATATGTGTCTGCGTGTGAGTTCATAAATGATGAACAAATCCTCACTGCCTCTGGCGACATGACCATTGCATTATGGGACATGGAAAAACACACCAAGGCGAGAGATTTCTTAGATCACTGCGGTGACGTGCTCCTGCTACTGATATCCCCCAAAGAGCGAATGCTGCCTCAAACGTTTCTTTCTGCTGGCGCCGATGGTGCGGTGAAACTCTGGGATTTGAGGACTAAAGCACCGCAAACGTCGTGCCAGATGTCACGCGTAGATGTGAACTGCATCTCGCTACTTCCGAACGGAAATTCGTTCATATCTGGAGATGATGAGGGGGTCTGTAAAATCTATGATTTCCGGTCGCTGTGCGAGTTGGAGCAGTACAATTTACGAGAACAGTTTGAGGCCCCTCGAATGCTGGGGGAGGGACCGGGACTGCCCACCAGTACACGCAGTATGTGGTCGCAGTTTGATGCACCGGGAGTGGTTTCATTGGACTTGAGCAAATCAGGCCGGATCTTGTATGCTTGCTACGCGGACTATGGGTGTCTAGCATGGGATGTCTTACGGAAAGAGATCGTAGAGCTGATTGGCGTAGGAAATGGAAGCCACAAGAGCCGGATCTCTCAGGTTGCAATCAGCCCTGATGGCCAGGGTCTCGCCACAGCATCGTGGGACTCCACGATTAAGATTTGGTCAACCTAATTTTGAAATGGGGTCCGGTGATGTTGGTTGTAAAGAGGTACAATCCAGTGAAACTGTGATTGTGGAGCTGCATGCCTGTTGCATGCCTACTTGCCTTCTCAGGATACTTCATTTGTCTTACTTTTGATGAAGCGCCAAAACGTTGAGCCTCCATCACTATACTTAATTGAGATATTGGAACAATATAAGATATACAGAACGTGAGACATCATTACTTCTGCAGAGATAAATCTTGCTGCGAAAGTCAGGGAAACAATCTAGAGTATTCAAAAAGCAAGAAGTCAAGAGAAGCTTTCGAAAACGCTGGCATGTTACAGTCTTGTCTTCTGAGACGATTCTTCAAATCTAGGAGCACGGGTTTCATTGAACATGGAGTACTTAGTAATACCGCGATTTTCTAATTGTCGTTCGAGTATCAAGACTCTGATTCTGTACAATTAAAGTGTGCAAACCTCATGGCTGAATTTGATATCCGAATGCATTCCAAAGGCTTATATGTTTACGTTGCTAAAGAAATAAACGTAAGCCTATACTGCTATGCAAATTCCGGATTGTAGGCGAAAAAGTGAAAGTATAGGCTCCGTGATTACGAAAAATTTGTGCCACTGTATTTGAAGCCCTGATCTTCGATTCGCAGACCGTTTAGAAGACAAATGAATTTTCAGGGCCGAAATAAGGTTCTCGAGAAATATGCTTGACTTTGTTATACTTGGATTTGTATGCGCTCGTACAGAACTGGAGATTTTGATCAGCACATTTGATTCAAAGGCAAAAATTCAAGAGTGAAAAGACTGGAGCACCAAGGTTTCGAATATGATCTCCCATTACACTACTCAGTGTGGCCCTATAGGGCTTAACTAATGTTGATCGGACGGGGAAAAGTGCTCTCTCCACGGCAATCGAAATATGGGATGGCATACAGCAAAACCAGAACTACTTTTCACACATAACAACCCTATTACATCGACATACCTTTGATTATAGACTATAGAAAAACAAAAGATTTTTTCGTGACCGCAACAGAAATAAAATCAGACGTAAACAATCTAAAGCAAAAAATCTTGGTTGCGAGAAATCGTTAAATAAATCGGTTTACACATATAATACAAGAAAAATGCCAATGTTCGAAATTTCAAATGTTTCAGCCGAAAAGACTCGATATTTCAAGTTTACAAAGGAGATAGTTCAAAGCTTGGCTCGGATGTTCTTTTGTTTGATCGTTTAGTAAATTATAGTGCAAAATTGTCATCTAACAGTACTGGGCTGTCTAATATCTCTTTGCAAGAGAGGACACGCTATAAAACAAAAGTTTACATTATTTTCTCACATGAATGGAATAGATTGAATTAGATTCTGGAAGATCTGAAAAGTAGCTTAATATGTTGCTAAACAAACAGGGGCTTCACAAGCTTTCCTGTTCTTCAAGAAGACTTAGCTGTATAGCTTTTCCACTATAGTGTGCCATAAGAGTATCTTCTTCAAATCTGATGTGACAGCGGATTAATTTGTCCTATTTATATATAAGAGTGCCCTTGTAAAGCTGTTATATTGATCGCACAAAAGATCTAGCATCTCAAATATGTCAAGGATAATTCATCAGGCTCTGGCTCGAATCTAGCCTTTTATTGATCGGAGTCTTAATTTCATAAGACTGTGGAAAATAGCTAAGTAATAGCTTCAGGTTTTTGACACGTCAAAGATATCGTGTAGTGTAGTACGGGTTATGATCCGAGAGTACTTCCCTGATAATCCAAAATTGCCATGCTAACTTTTCTGAAGTTCAAATTTTGACGCTTACATCCTCAACTTGAAATAAAAGAAGACCGAAGAAGATGAATCTGGAAAGATTATAAAGAGACGTAATTGTGAGATTGCGTGAGTACGGAGTTTACACACTTACCATTGTCAAAATGTGAGACATAACAGAAACAAAGGCAAGGTCTGTTTAAAAAAATGGAAAACGAAACCGCAAGCGGTAGAAAACACATTTTTCTACACAAGATTAATATCAAATTTCAGACGAACTGTCTGGTATTACATCCAACTCAGTATCTGCGGAACTGTTGAATGATGTCAACAGAAAAATGGCTCATGTAGCTTCATAGAAAGAAAAAATTACAAAGAAGAATGAGATACCTTGCATCTTGGATTTTGAAAGCTAAGGAGCTGATTTTCCACATGATACTAGAGCAGCAGACTTGTTTTTACCAAAAACAACTCAATAAAAATTTCCTAAAGTGCGTTTTCAGATCATAATGGGAAACACGTCGTGCCACCATCAGAGTAGCAAAACGCTCATGATGCCAGTCGGGTCAATGAGACTCTAGAACTGGCAGGCTCGATATTTTTCCATTAAAACTTGTATATTATACTTTTGAAATTTTATTCAGAGAAATAGCGCCCCTTGGAGCCTTGCCGAGGTAACTTCCAGCACTTGTTTATGTACTGGTCGTGTGTCTCTGTACATATTCCCATAAGCTTTTCAACAACAGCTCGGGCAAAGTGTACAAGTCCATGGTGAACTCGCCGTTTTCAAAGTCGTTTTTGATGTTCATATCGCTGGTACGGTTGTCCGTGACCATTTGCACAATGGTGATCAAGTCATCCTCACTCAATAAAGTCAAACCTTTAGCAAGCTTTTCCAAGTCCACAGAGCCTTTCGTGGCACTGGAGGTACTCTTCAATTTCTTCAGTTTTGACAGGACTTCGGCGTCCGACTTGCGCTTGGCATCGCCCTCCAAAGGCACAGGCCCAGACTCGGCCAAGAGCTTGTTCAACTGGGCGTTTTTCAAAGGCACCAGGATCACGTGGTCTACGGTATAAGTCTCCTGCAAGAAGTTCAAGTCGTGGTTGAATTTTCTCTCGCCCTGCTTCCCTGGAATACCCACCAAATGGACGGCAATGGGGATATCAAATTCTCCCCACCCTTGTTCCTCCACCTTGAAAGGCGGCTGTTTCAAGGCACGGATCGGGTTGGCGAATGTCGGGTGCAAAGTATACGTAACCTTATCTAGGATAGTGGCTGGAATCACGGCGCCCTGGTCGTTGAGCATGGTGATTTCGATAGACCACTGCCTCATTGGATAGTTTTCCACCGCGGGCACATCCTTCATGATGTGCTGGTTCGTTGTGATACGAATAGTTCTTTTGACCTGTAATGTTAGTAGCGTTGATTGGTAAATGTGGGAATATGAATTCCCTTTATTTTCTGTCCTCGAACAGATGCGGCTAACAAAAATCTTCCTGTTTCTTTGGACCAATTCCAACATGATCTCTTGTGTGTGGATATGAAGAAGCTCTGATAAAATGTAATGGTATAGATCACATTGCCCTGTGTACTTTCGCTAATTTTCGTGAAAATAATTGTAAAGAGCTTTCGATCACTTCAAGGATAGACAGAAGACAAGATGAACAGATTTTTCCTTCGCTATATGACCAGGAGTCCTCCGATCCATATAGCCTAATAAGCCATTGGTCTTGCCAGGCCAGGAGAAAAAACAGCAGACAGCGGTTTGGGCAGCGGCGCCTGAAACATGGCCGAAACGGCAGTGAAACATACCTCAGACATGGTGATGTAAGTGGGGGCTCGGATTACTAGTGCCAGAAATTCCACGAGTCTTTTTTATCAACCGACTCTCGAATTACGCTTGCTTGGACCGGTGCGTCCACTGCCCAATTTTCCGTGGGTTGATGCGGCCTTTGCTGCACACAGGTGGAGGCTGGCTCAATTTGGGAATACACTTGAAATTTCAAAGCCGGAGAAAAAGCTTTGGGGATTGGGAATTTTAAATGCCATTAGAATAACAACTAGGTGAGATGATTCATATCAGTGGGAGGTGCTTGTTGTGTCGCCAAAATAATGGCACACGTGAATTACTTTGGCCACGTATCGCAGATATGCGTCTTGCTTATAGTATGGTGGGATACAACAGGCATATTTCCAGAGGAGCGAAATCTGGGCATAGAGCCGAATTTGCAAGAGTATATGGCTGGTGAGAAGACATTCCGACTATTTGGGAAATCATTGTATTCCTTAATGCCCTGGTAGTGGCACGTGACTTGGCTGGAGCTGGAGATATCTAGGAAGACTAATCGGATGTACATACTAAAACTAGAGAGGCAAAGAAAAGATAAGATGAAATGAAGACCTTTGTCAGTATTCACCGTGTCTACATCATTTCACAAAGATTGCACACCGTGCTGGAACAGTACATACTTTATAGTGCCACAATTTGTGTCGTGTCACTTTACGCGAAAAGCCACCAATTACCGGGCGTCTTTCATGATGACTTACAAACAGTTTATAGAAAGCTCTATTTCATGGCGTTGTCTATTTTGGACACCGCCGGTCTATGATGATTCTTCGATGATCATAACATTCAAGTTCAAGGGAATCAGCGACAAAGGATCAATTCTGGAGGGTTTGAGTATTTCAATTTTCTTCTGAATACGCTATTTTCACCCGAAATTGAAAAACCAAGAGAACGCTTCAGCCCAATGTTAAAAAGACGGTATTTGTCTTCTGTTTCAAAAGCGTAACATGCTTTTCTGGACTATGAACTGTTGGGCAACACCAGCCCAATTTACGTTTTTTCTTGTAGTTTCAGTGGGTGAAAAGGGTTATATCCAGGTTTCGCTTTACAAACGGTAATATTCGGTACCGAAGAAGCTGCTTCCAGCTCTTCGGCTTCAAAGATACCCCAGAGTACTACGCCAATATCTTGCGTTGAGTTTTTTGACTCGAAATAATGAAGTGGTTCTAAAATATCTACATCTCGTGAGTTGATCACAAAACTGCAATTGAACCAACCCGGTGACGAAGGCTTATATAGCTAAATGACTTCTAGAGATCTGTGTTCTCGTTATGACTGCACAACTGTAGCTTTTCAATGAGCATTTTCAATTAGCTCTCCAGGGCGTGCTAAAATTGACAATCTGCTTAACGTCCGTCTCTTATATGTAAACCAATCGTTTCCAACTCTTAGATATTTTTTCTGAGAAAAATTTAGGATGAAGCAGCTGGTACTTATTTTTAAAGCCACACTACAATTAGAGCAAGCAAAGTTTTCATGAATTCTTGTTTTCGGGTCACACTGGCCATTCCAAAAGCCTGAGTTTTGGAGACACAGATGTGGCCCAATAAATGTAGACATTAGCGCCTGTGGAAGGCAGGTGATAAACATTCATGCATTCCAGTGCCCTGATGTCCTGTCAAGGTAACGGAAATGTATCGGTTTGGCCAAGCCATCAAGGCTCATGTGGCGCTGAAGAACAGATAACATCTATATGCTTGAATTTAAATTTTAATTTGAATACAGAAGGCCATTCAAAAGAGAGTGATACAGCAACCCGATCCAGTCATTGGCATATGCTGGCAATGTGGAGGATAGCTAAATAGATCCATCTCTGATGCTGGAAACGGCACACATTCTAGGAAAGGGCATATAACTTCTTGGCTCAACAGCAAAACACAAAAGGACTTGATATCATCAGCAACCGTCAATGCTAAGTTGGCCAGAAGGTGCACTTTCGTCTCAATTTTGGCAAAGACTCGAAACATCATGATGATGTCCCCACTACTAGAGAATTCAGTCATACAGGGAATGCACGATGCACAAGTAGGGTCCTGCGATGCTTCGTGAATATGACCATAGAAAAACGCACTTCCACCAGCGCGTCACGAGACTACATTTAAAGAGAAAGAGTTGGCAGGGGAATGTCTTGAAGAGCAAGAGGCCGGACCTATGAACCCGAATATATACACGAAGCTAGAGCCCAAGGAGTGCCGAGCCACAAATGATACCAGATACCAGCAATTTATACCACTAATTTCCCCAAAGTCTCTTGTACAACAGCGGAACCAAGGAGCGGATGGCCGCGGGGAACGTGTTCCAGTTCTGCGCAAACTCGTCTGTCACCTGCTTCATGACATCCTTCATTTGCAAATCAGTGCCGTTTTTCTCACGAAGTTCAACGAGCCATTGCTCGGTCTTGGCGGCTATTTCCTGTTCGGACGCTACGGGCAAAGAGGCTAGGTATCTACGGATAATCTGCGACTCCAGAGCCTCGACCTCTGCCAAATCCAGCCTTTGTTGCGATACGTACAACTGGTGGGACTCGTCCCTTTGTTTGATCATCTTGTTGAAGAGTCTGTACAAGTCAAATTCAGTCTGTTTGCCGCCGTCAATCTCGCTGTTTTTGATGCTAGACAAAACCGACCTGATGGTGTTTTTCTCTATCTTGTTTTTAGCAAGCATGGCTTGTTTCAAGTCCTGTTTCATCAGCGCCATGAGCTGCGTGTATGCTGACGACGCCTGCAATCTTCTAACAGAGGCAAACATAGAGAAGTTATCGAGTCGAAATTTGAGTGTGAATTGGCGCAAAAGGACCGGGTATGAAAGGCCTGGTTGTTTCGAGAGCCCGGCTTGTTGCCAGGATGTATGGGTTTATCGACTACCAGCGTGCCCAGACATACTCTAACCAACCGTCATCAAAACCCCAAATCTACGAACTTTAGCTTCAGAGTTTTTCTAAAAATACGGAGTGGTCGAGGGTTAAGAAAATGTGGTTTGAGGGGACGTTGAGACGAATCGGGCTGATGGTGGCAAACTGTGTAGTTTCCTGCATTGCTGGGTTTGGCTTGTGAAGTAAAACGGTCGTAGAGCCAACGAAACAAAATGTTGGCTCCTTCCCACAAGCTTTTTCTGCGCCATGGTATCAAAAGCTTATTTCCCGCTGATATCTTTGTTTCCTTTGCTTGTCGCCGCTTTGTTCAAGCATTCGGTGCACGCCTGAAATTAGCCAACGGAATGTATGTGCGCAATAGAACCGAACGCAATTGCCCACCAAAAAATACCACTTCTCAGCAAAGATATGGGGACTCAGACCAAACACCACTGCAATAGTATCATGAGGCCCGAAGAATCTTGAAACCAGCTTTTTCGTGCGGTTTGATGAGAAAAATGAATGCTCATCTTACCTGCAAATCCAAACCCGCATGACCTTATCTTGCATATTTGGTTTTGGCATGTTTTCCAAGAACCAAAGCCACAAAACTCGGCGACATGCTATATTTAGAAACAGATCAAGAGAAAACCCTCATCGTACTTTGATTCGTCAGCTTGGCCGATTCAGCAGTCTAGAGCCGGGCCTTTTTTGGGCGCCGTGCATACTGCTCGCGCATACCCCAATTACTTTAATTCGAGCAACTTTCAGCTTGATTTCATGTTTCGCCGCAGCTGCTGTTCGCTGCAATAATAGCGATGAGCCTGAGAAATAAATTGTAAACGCGTACCTTACAAATCGCAAAGGGGCCACCTTTCGTGTTGTCTATTGTCTGGGTATGATGCACGTGCCTTAATTCCTATTGTCTTCCTCACTAACCACGGCATTCGTTTGTTCCTCAGAACCCCTTCTGATTTTCAGTTCAGTTGCTATAGTTTCAGCCAGATCCAGGAGCTCTAAAACTAGGTCTATCATGAAGCTTATCGTGCTCCGCCTTCCTTCAACGGTATGCCAGTCTTGCTACCCCTGTTCGAGTAATTTGTTGGCAAAATGGATTTTCTTATTTCTTGCACGGGTATATTAAAGCCCACAGTCTGCCACAAAAACGGGATTTCCCCGCTACTTTGGCATATTGGTAATAAAGGCATTTAGCCGTGTTACGGACTGTGCTTTTCTACTTTGCTCTACTCAGACGTCGCCTGCACTTGCGATAAAAATCGGCCAATTTCCTGCTTTACCTTCCAACACAGAAAGGGAGACGCAGGGAATCTGATTCAAGAGAGCGTTACCGCTATGATGGTTGCATCTAATACCATACATAAAACAAAATCCACACCAACACAAGATCTTAGCGATTTTGCAGCTGCACGTTTTGCGTCAAAAGAAAAGAATCTAGCGAGTCCCGCTTCACTCAAAGATGCCAGACAACGCAACTTCCCTCAAGCAGCATTTCTGAGCGACTCCAGAAATATATGCTTGTCCAAAGATTCATATGAACAGGAGCATTTACTGAGGAAAGGGCCTGGCGCTTCAGTGCATCTGAGTCTTGAAGGGCTTAACAAGTCTTTAAGAAAAATAAAGGACACTGAGATATATGTCATTTCTTCGCCGGAAGAGCTCAAGCAGCTTCTCGATTTACACCATTCGGAAGAAAACCCCATGCCCTCGCCAGATGACATGTTCCCATACTTGCATGGATCTGCGGGTCTCCGAGAAAAGGTGTATTTCGATGCAAGGTTTGACCCTTCGTCAGAATTGCAATTTCTAGCCGAGGACTCGGAGACGATCTCCCGACGCTTCCCGCCTGATACGTTTGCAAAGCCGACAGAACTGGGATTTCACCTAATGACTGTGAACAGTCGAGCAGAAAGCAACCCGTACCTCACGAATTCTGTCGTAATCGAAGACATGCTCGTGTTTAGGGAGACTGGAGATATTGATGTTAGCCCAGAGCGCTTGGACCTCTCCAACTTCAAGCAGTTCAAAGACTTCACTCAGACTTTTGATACTCCGTGCTGTCCTCTGGCACAGACCAATCGAAACTTCATGCTGCAAACCACCCTAATGGCCCCCCTTTCTCATTTCGTGGTGTACAACAACGAAATGGATCTTGCCAGCAACTTCGAAGTCGCAAAGATTCTCGAGTATTTGCAAAGCTCGTGCCACAAAAGAAACATATATGTGGTCGACTTTCCAACACGCCAATGGCCAAAAGTCGACCAATACTTCACACAGACGTCTGTATGGCACCGTTCTGGGAAGAAGAAACGCTTCTTCAACAAAAGCACAGATTTCACCCAGCCCGGCAGCTTGTACTATTTGGAGCAGAATTTGGTCTGGCTGGTATACAACATGACACAGCCTTTCCCCAACCTATATGTGGGCAACGCCTTAAATTTCAAACAATCAATTCCCGGCACCAGATCAGGATTGCAACATGACTTCCAGTTGTACATATATTGCCATGAAAAAGCACGTATGCCATCGAGAAGCCTGCTAAATCTGATCTTGCAAGACATGCCCGCAAAGGGGTTGAAGGAACCTCTTTTTCTTGAGTTCTCCAGCGCGATCTTCCGAGCTGAAGCCATGTCGGAAGATGTTGCAAGCTGCTTCCTCACTTTTTTGAAACTTGTCAGTGTCATTGTTAAAGAGCACCAACAAAATGCTCTTATTCACTCTTACGACGGTTTTTCGGGAACAAGTTTTTTGCTCCTTGGCCTTGGACTTCTCTGGAGATGTGACTATGTCGAGGAGATGGCGTTAGATCTTTTCCGACAACCAGAGTTTAAGCTTCAACTCTCATTTTCGGAGTTCCTGGTTCTCAAGAGCCTTGAGGCTCGCATACAGTTGTTAAAGCCGCAGCTGCAAAATGCTACAATTCTCTTACCAGATCTGTGCTCTGAAACGGGACCTATCTTGGACCAGCCGTTGGTGCGACCAGCGGATTGGTTACGAAGCGAAAACGAGACCACTTTCCCCGACTTCATCCATAAGAGTCTTTACTTGGGCTCGGTTAGTCATGCCTCATCGACAACACTTTTATCCGCGCTTCAAATCTCGAAAGTCGTATCAATCGGCGAGAAGCCACGTTGGTATGGTGCTTTGAACTGTACCTTTCGACATGATGCAACACCGGCAACTGAAGGCCCCGTGATAGAGCCGATATATCTGTTCAACAAAGGACATTCCTCGGTGTACGAGGTCCAAATCACGTCGCCCGAAACACGAGCTCGTTTGTTTCATCACAATGCCGTGCCAGCCTTGGATTCATTCATCTACATCCATGGCCTCGAAGATGATGGGCGTGACTCGATGTTTCTGCTTTTTGTTGGATGTCCCCAATGGGTCCAAGAAAAGCTTTTGATTTCCCCTGACCAAAAATACAAGGCCTTGGTTCTTTGCCGAATTGGCGTCTCGCGTTCTGCAACGTTGTGTATTGCTTCGGTCATGAAACACTTCCACATGTCGCTAGTGGAGAGCTTTTTATATGTGCGGGTACGCCGGCTCAATGTGGTGATACAGCCCAACCTCCGGCTTTTCTACGAGTTGTTTCTTTACGACGAGCACCTCCGCTCGCGCCGCCAGCAAAACGATAAGAAAAGCGGCGAGGCGTTTTTCTGCTGGTGGACGTTCTGCACTGAAATCCACCGGTTGAATCAGCAATATATCGAATGAGGTGATTGAAGAGCGCCTGGCAAACCCCTGAGATCATTGCCAAGCTTTTGATAGCAACTCAATTTACGTCAGTGTAGTGGGGACTCATGTTACAGGCGACTTTGAATTGACATGTGGCTCGCTCCAAAGACTCGATTTCCAACGTGCTATTCTGCATTCTTCCGTATTTGTTCTTGGTTGATAAAATTACTCACTTTCTTTCCCACATTGTGTACTCATACTTATAATCACCCTCTGTGACTAGCCCTTTCGTGTAATCGACACCTGCAAATTCCAGCAATTCGGCTTCAGTCTTTTTCTCCCAAGCACTAAGGTCCCAATCCAAAAATGTATCAAGAACTGGTGTCTCCGCTGGGTTTCCATTGTATGTCACTTCTGTGATGAGCAAGTTGTCGACGCGAGGATCAGCCACGAATGCATTGTATATTTGGGCACCACCAATGACAAATATCTTATCTATCTTGTTGTTCTCATGCATAAAATCGGGTTCTTGGAGCGTGCGCAAGGCCGAGTCCATGGAATTGGTCAAAAAGACCCCGTTTTCCGCGGAAGTTTCGCACGACCTTGAAAGAACCACATTAAGACGCCCGGGCAATGGTCTGAACTTTGCTGGAATCGATTCCCATGTCTTTCTGCCCATAATCACAGCGTTCACATGGCCCTCGCGACTCATGCTAGTAACGTCTCTGAAATACTTGATTTCTTGTTTCAAGCGCCACGGAAGCTTGCCCTTGGCGCCGATTCCGAATTCGGGCTGCAAGGCTGCGACTATGAGAGATACCTTTGGAGTAGACTTCATTGAAGATATGTGTGTCCAGCTCACCAGGTCAGTCGCGTCTGGACTTACGGTTTGTCAGTCGCGAAAAGTCAGCCCCGCCTGCATACAGGAGTGCAGGGCCGATAAACAAAGCGGGTTTTATTAATACACATAAAAGTACCATAGTAAACAAATGAGTCTGGGCTCGAAATATAAAATGAAGTATCGCACTGTCTTTAGCTGAAAACATTATAATGTACAAAGGAAGAAATCGATCAACCAGGCTGCGGCCTTGTCTAAGCGGCAATAGCCTTTTTGAGGGTGGTCTTTTTGACTGGCTTGACAGGCTTGACTACCTTTTTGGGCGCTGCAGCCTTCTTGGGAGCAGCCTTTTTGGGGGCGGCTTTCTTGGGAGCAGCTTTCTTTGCTGGCTTGGTGACCTTCTTCGCTGATACTTTGGCCACAGGTTTCTTTGGGGCAGCCTTCTTTGGCTCAGGCTCAAGCTTCTTTGGAACGGCCTTCTTTGTAACTTTGACGACGGCAGGAAGAGCAGCTTTCTCCTTCTTGACGTTCTTAATTGGGCCCGAGGGTCCTTTTGGCTGAGAAAAGTCGCCAGTCTCAACACCCTTCCTCAAAGCAGCGTTGAACAAGGAGTCAAAGCTGGTGGCCTTGACATCGAAGTTGGCTTGAACGTATTTCTTGACAGCTTGACGGCTATTTTCAGTTAGTCTTCAATTAAGGTGGATATGGCAGCACCGTATACCATTACAATGTGAGGGGCGGCGAGCGATGACTCTTCCAGTTGTGGTGGGTGTGTGGGCTATGGGCGCAAAAATAGGCCACCTCTATACGCGGCGTGACCCCGGGCCCACTTGAGCGACGAGATGCCCCCATGGATTTTTGCCCCGATAAAATCATTCTGCCATTTGAAATGATCCAGGTTCGATTTCCAATCTCGCGCACGTTCGGGGGAAAAAATCGGGCGGGAAAAAATAGCAATGTGTGTCGCCCCGCTCGCCTCAAAAAAGAAAGACAGGAAAAAATTGGGGACTAGCCGCCCACACAATTAGAATACATACGAAGAGCCGTTTCTTTCCTTCAAAGAAGTGACAGCAGACTTGATCATGTCTGTATATATTGTTAGCAAGGTCCTTCAATATGAGGCTGAAACCGCTCGAGTCCTGTTGTTTCCGCAAACACGTGTGTTGAAACAAGGAGCAGGGTCAGTCTCGGCGGCTGGCCGAAAACGGGCCCGCCAAGCGCGGTTTGTTTTTGGCTTTGTGATTTTTTATACATACCTTTGTAAGTGACCTTGGATGCGGCAGGGGCAGGGGCAGATTTTGGAGGCATTGTGGTGGAAATGTGTTGATGTTTGAAAGAAAAAGTGGTAGGAAAATATAGGCCATGGGGTGAGGATCAAAACAACGCCAGAATTATGTGCGCGCCCGCGCGGCCGAAGTTTATAAGGGGAAGATGGTAAACGCGGGCGGGACTGCGAAAAAACCAGGGAAACGTGTGACCATGATAAGACACACGTGACGGCGCCCGTCAACGTTTTTTGGACAAGGGGAGTTTCGGCCGTTTTTCGTGAGTGGGCGTCCTCTGTGTTTGCTGTATAGATGAGCGATTTCGGGTTTTTCTTGTTTATTTCGGGGCGTTTGGAGAGGAAGTCAGGTTGATTGGCGATGCGACTGACCTGCTTTTGTATGGTGTCTTAGAAAAGTATGGTGATTGGGCTGGTTCGAACCAGCATTAGTCTGACTCTATTATAAGCGTTTTAGTCTGGGACTAAGATTTTGCTGATAAGAATGTTCCATTCAAAGAACTTGTTTTTACAATGTAGACAATTTGAAGCTGCGTACTCCTAATTGGATAAGCTCCTCTACCAGGAGCAAAAGGGGTATATGGTTCAACCTCGATTCCGATTGAAGTTGTTTTTGCCAGATTGGACCGTCAATACATCAGCTCTCTCGCGTTGTCTTGGTGTGTCTAGTCTTGGAATGCATGTAACTCTCCAATCCAAAAAAAGTGACAATTGAAGTTTTTTCTGCCATTTTCCAAGAAAATAAGGAGACACTTTTTTCTGCGTCAACATGGCTTCGAACATAGCCTATTGCAGCCAGGCTGGTCTGTTTTTCCGAACCTTCAAGCAAGCTGGAAGTAAGTAACCTAATATTTCGAAAGTCAATAGCACCTCCAAGACACACTTTACTGCTTCGAGGAAATGGGACTCTCCAGCAACTGCGTTTCTATACAATGTTTGAACAGGAAATACTGGAAATGACAATAGACCAAGTTCACATCAGTTAGATACACCGGAATCGTCCCTGCACATCGAAACATTAGGGAAGTCAGCAGACCAAACAGGTACCAGAGAAAGCTGTTGTCAATTTTTCCAATGTTGTCCCGTGCTATACTATGTATTGCAAATCAGGCACAGTCTCAAATTCCCAATCATGATTGGGTACCCAAGGCACAAACTACTTTGAAGCTTCAGGGTCAAATTTCATAAGAGGGTTGAGAGAATGCGACGCAAGCTATTTGAGCATACTGCAACGTGTCACGGAAGAAATTTTGCAAGTTGTAATGCTCTATCTGGAGCCTTTTGCAATTTGAAGCATGATAGTGACTGGATTGCCTTTGTGAAAAGATGACTCCTTCTTTTCTATATACTTTTTGTTTTCTGAGGGGACAAATACGTCAGCTATTGATATACGGTCAAAAAAGCTGCGATTGCTTACCTGTGAATATATTTGTTTCACCGGGACATTTGGTAATTGCGCTTTCTTTTCAGCTCCTGTAGCAAGCTCGCTAAATGCTGCTCGCTAAAATTACAGTTGATATGCAGTATGTCGACTGGTGTTTCTGAGCGTGGAAGCACAAGAGAAAACGCATGATGGAAATACTCCAGCATGCAGAATGGCATGCAGGTTGGTTCGCTGGCAAAACAAAATAACACCTCCGATATGCAAATACTGTCGAGATAACCCGGTTCAATGCTAATTAAAATGTGTCGTGAGTCAAATTTGTGAGCCCTATTAAGAGCCCTTTGTGAATATGTTGGATGGGATTAGATTCTAAATTGCCTTGTCTTATATAATGGCGTACTCCGTCATGGGGGAGGTGCCATATTCTGGCCCTGATAGTAGTCTTTTACCGAGTTGAAAAGTAACAAATCACGCACGGCATTCTATTAGCATTGACTTCAAGGTGCCTGGGTTTTGGGGGCATCATTCTGAAGTAGGCGTGTCTCTATTAACGATTTCACCAGCCAATTGCTCTCGTTTCCAGAACTTAAGCAACAAGTCACCGTAGTTTTGAAGATCCTCAACGGATATCATCAACTTGAAGTCTAGTAGTAACAAGAATTGAAGTTCCAAATAATTAAGCTCCTCAAGGGGAAGTCCTCCAACCTTGGCGTAACGGAGATTTTTGTAGAAGATATCACTGAAAAACTTTGAGCTGACGGTGATGCCCAGGATAATGAGCCGATGAATATTATATGAGTCCATCACGAATATCTGCTCGGCGTCTGTAGGTGTTTCGTCGCCCAGGTTGGACTTTTTATCTTGGAAAATGTTTGCTCTTTTCGCGATCCGGTCAAAGTAAACCAAAAGGGAAAGAAACACTTCGTTGGTCACGGGACAATACTTCAAGACTCTAGTGAGGTACGCATGAAGGGTGATGCCAGGTACATTCGTCCCGTGGAAGGCAAGGACGTTTGCCAAGTACTTGTTTTTGAGCTCGTCCTCTTCATCGTTAAAGGAGTCGTCCGAGTTTTCATCCTCTGAGATATGGGACACTGTTGTATTGATTCCACCGTGGGTGAAGCTAGTCGAGTTGCTCCTTCTGTAAGACCTCTGCTCCTTTTCTAATTTTTTCATCTTCTTGTGCTCCTTGAGTTTCTGTCTCACTGCAATGGTGTTGTCAAAGTGGTTTGGATGGAGCTTGTCGTTGGCTTCAATAATTTTAGTCAAGAGACAAGCGAGCATGGTGATGAGCTCGTCCACAGGGAACTCCACTATGTTGAGATGCTCTTCGTATCCACTGGCGTCCCCGTCCTTGCTTTCCGCGTCGCTTTGGTTGAGTCTTTCGAGGTACTCGTGGTACGACATGTAGTGGTCGGGGCCAGCGAGAAAGCTGCCTGTGCGCTCGTCAAAGGAACTGGGGGCCTTTCCGGGGTCGCGGGCAGGCGGGCCGGTGTGGCCGGGCTGCTGCTGGTGTGGCTTCACCGGTGTTTCGGGCGGGAAGCCGTGGAGCGTTTGGTGCGACGATTTGCCCGCGAGGGAGGAGGATTCCATGAAGGAGTTTGGGAGCGAGTGGACGTAGCTGCCGCTGGCAGGCTTCCCGAAGTGGGAGGGGGCAGAGGAGATGATGTGTCTGTTGAATGGGGTTCTGCTGTGCAGAGACATGTGCGGGTTGGCGGAGTCCATGGAAATGTTTGTGGTGGCCCCGCCCGCGGCCTTGTACGAGCCAGGCCCCGAGTGGGGCGGGTACGCGTGGTGGGCAGAGCTCTCGTGGTGGGGGAAGTTGCCGCTGGCGCAGAAGTGCGCGCCCGGAAACGTGGGCGTGAACGAGTGGCTGGACGTGTACGACGACGACACCACGGTGGGCGTGTTGTGGCCCAAGGGGATGTAGTGCATGTTCCCCGTGGGCGGCGTGAACAGCGGCATCGGGTTCGAGCGGCCGAAAGGCGTGCCGTGCGTGAACGGCGACGACGCGGGCTGGCTGTGCTGCGACCCGAACAGGCTGGCGGGCACGAAGCTGCCGTGCGGCGCCGTCGACGCCGAGTACAGCGGCGGCTGCCCGGAGAACGACGGCCCGGGCGTGGCCGTCTGCGTGGCCGTGTGGGGGGACGTGTGGGAGGCCGGCGGCGCGTGGCTGTACTTGGGTGCTGCCGACGACATCAAGTTCCTCGTCAAGTTGGACACCGACAGCTTCTTGTGCTTGTGTTCGGGCGACGGGTCGGCCGCGACGGGCGGGCCGCTATGCTGGAGACCCGCTGGTCCGGCACCCTGCCCAGCGGTCGAGTAGTGGCTCGCTTGCGTGGCTAGACGGGGTTAGTAAATGCTGCAAAAAAATATAAACACAGACACGCACATAAACACGCACACAAACACAAACACAAACACAAAACGCCGCCAGGCCCCGGCCGGGTGGTGGGCTGCCGTGTCGTGGCACGCTTGTTTGTTAAATGCATGGTGCCCAGGCCCGGTGGTCGGCAAATGGAAGGCTGCTAGCCGCCGACGAAAAACCACAAACACCGCCTCCGCACGGCCGGCGGCGGGCGGTGCTTTTCTGCAAAAACAAGGGGCCAAATGGCAGGCGCCAGTGGGGCAGAATAAACGGCAGCCACTCGCAAAAAAAACCGGCGGGCTGGGTGGGCGGCTAATGTAAGGGCATAGAATGTTACGTACTTGAAAGGCCTGGTGCCAGGTCCAGATGATTGGCAGAGTTGCGCTTTAGCATATGGCAGGGGGTGGGTGGGCCTATGAGGGGAGTATTGACTGTGATTTGAGGGGCGGGTGTTGTATGGTGGCTTGATCTGAAGGACGGCTGGGGCAACTGGAGGGACCTTGCTTGGAGGATTAATAAAAAACCCCGGTCCGCAAGGGAGGCACGGGTGCGGCGCGAATCTGTGTTTTCGCGCGAGTTCCGGGGGTAGTGCAGTGCCGGGTGATCATTCCGGGGATAATTCCGGGGATAATTCCGGGGGACCATTCCGGGGGATGGTTCGGGGACGGTTCCGGGCCCCCCGAGCTGATGCTGGGAATTTCGCAGCTATCGCAGGGCCATGCCCACAAAAATTAGGCCAAGCGGATTGCAATTTAAATGGCCTTTATTTTTTGGGAAGGCCACTGGACTGACACATGGGCTAGATGCAGAGGGAGCGATGGCGGTCGTTGCTTCTTGGCTTCGTCTTGATGACTAAAATGCGGTCAACTAGCAAGGGCATTTCGTCACAGCTTCATGCATAGTCATTTGCCAGGAGGAGAATCAGGCCTGAGATATTCCCGGCGATGGTGGATGAAGCACAAATTGCCTTTTTTTATCTGCCTCGTGTAAATGGGCGGTGTTGGCTGTCTTGTTGTGGAGGTGTTTTTGAGAATTGGCCCCAGCAACCCGAAACCCCCAGCAACCCGGGCTGCTCGTCTGAATTAATGCGGCAGAATGGACAAACATACCTGGTATTCCCGGAGTTGGGCGGAACAGAGGAGGAGCCCCCATATTCAGCCCACATGAATCAAGCGGCCTTCCACCCAGAAATCGCACCCCTCTACTTTCTCCTCCACGGAAGCCTGGAACACGTATACTCTACACACCGGATCGACAGTGTCGTACGCCCAGGCTGGCGAAATCTCAAGGGCTGGCGAGTCTCCGCCCGAAGCCCTCGCCACACATGCCAACAAGAGGCACGTGACAGCGAGCCCTGGGCCCGGTGCTGGGGTTCGGGGTGCAGACTGTTCGTGGCCCGCGGTCCTACATATTCCCATTCCACGAGCCCAGCTACAAGTGCTCTCTCCACGCCACGCCCAAAAAAAGCAACGGCGCCTTCCCTTGTCAGCACCCACCAACAACATGTCCACGGCCTCCAAAGCCACGTTTGCTGCGTCCTGTCTTTTTGCCGCCTGCTCGTTTGTGTACATCAACGTTGAGCAGCGCATCGAGCGAGAGAATTTGAGACAGGGCCCCATCAAAGATGCCGAGCGCATGCGCCAGAAAATGTCGAAAAAACAGGCTGCCAACGAGTTGGAGCACCGCGAACAGCTTGCCTTGAAAGAGCAGTACGAAAAGGTGCAGCCACTAAACGCAGAAGTCATCACAGGCGAGGACTGATTGTGGGTCGTGGTTTTCGAGCCGGGCCGAGAGACCTTCCAGCAATTGTACATAGCAGTCTGTAGCCACCCGAAATCAAAGAGTACAGGAGTAGCAGAAGCGGACACTTGTTCGGGGCCCCACGGCTCGACTGGCTGTGGACTAGCAGAGCGGTCTTCGACCGACGCGGTGCCGGGTCCGGAAGAGACACACTAGGACGCTACTGGCTAGTTGGCTACGTTTACAAATGGAATGTCTGTGTGCTTGGAGACACCCGTGGTCTGATCTCCCGGGAAGGAAATGCCAGCTGGATGTACTATGATACACGGGGGATGATATGTCCGCTTTCTTGTGCGGGCTCCCCAAAAGACTCGCTTAGTCCTGCCCCAAGCAAATCACCAAAACGGGTCTTCGAGATGGGGGTGTCTGGCCGTGGGCGGCCGCGCCAGGACTGGGAGGGGGAGCCACGCCGGAAGAAAAGAGGTGGGGAGCTGTCCGCCGCTTTTATACCCGCACGCCGAGGCGGTGTACGGGTGTTTGCCCGTCGCGGCGCGCACCGGCCTGGGGCTACAGTGGAAACCATGTCGTTTCGCTGCCATTTCAATTAGCCCCGTCTAGTGATCCACACTACCAGTACATACGAAAGTGGGAGGCTTGCTCCCGTGTGCCCCAGCCTGCAGGCAAAGCCCTCATGCCTCCATCCTGCCCAAGATCTCTTCGTCCTCGTCCACAACTTCTCTCTTCTCTCTTTCTTCCTCTTCGTAGGGTGACTCCATCTGCGTGTGATGCTTCTTGGCTGGAACGTCTATGTACCCTCCGACGCATCCGGGCATAGGGGAATATGACGATGGTATCTGTTCCTCCGACATGCGTAGATGATGGTCCTCATGCTCCGGAGTGAACTGGGGAAGCGATCGCGAAAATGGCGAAGGGCCTACCGGAGCCTCGTGCTCATCCACGATTGTGCCTGGCTCATTCATTCCCACAAGAATAGACGCAGCTTCCAAGAGCTGCACCTGCTGGTGCTTAGATATAAGCAATTTTTTTGTCATGGTCCATTCGGGCGTGTGCTCCCATAAATGCTTTGCGAGCGAGGAAATATGCTTATACGCCTTCCCACAAGACTGGCATTTCAACAGTTCTTTTGCTCGGCCTTCCCCATCCTCGGAGAATCTTCGCGTGGCTAGACTTCTAGATGCGGTGGGCATGTCTGTGTGCTTTCCGTGATGTCCACTAAGGCCATGCACATGCCCATGTCTCATGGGGAGAGGCAACGGATGCACGGATGAGTGTCTTCTTCTATATTGCTGCGACGTTGTTGCTGTCATACTTGTTGATGTGGTCAGGTTAGGAAGGTCAATACGGCGACGTGGAACTGGGGTCGCTCAAGAAGGCCTGGCAAATGGCTCAGCGCACACAATGGTCGAACAGGTCCAACTATTACAATAAATATCGCCAAAAAGCGAGCTGGGTCCACACAAGTGTTTTCTCGGGAAAGACGGTGAATCGGTGATGCGTATGCGATGGTACACCGGTTGTGGAACAAAGTCTCAGGTTTTCTTTTTCTTTTTTTTTTTGTCTCAGGCTGCACGAAAATCGCAAAGCCTGTCTCACTTGGTGAGCGCGCTGCATGTCGTGCAGGCGCAGAGATGTGGAGTCGTGTGAGAGCACGTGAGTGCCCGCCTGCACCGGAGCTCGTCATTGAAACCAATGCAGAAGGAGATACCGAGTCTTCTAGGGACCAGCATACTAGCGACCTGAGGCTCAGACCATTAATGGTTTGCCAGATATCAATATCACTCCATGATTCAATGATTGGCAGGCACAAAAAAAAAGTCAACCACCTGAAGGAAAACCCCGAGTTGAATTTGGAAATGGCTTTTTGCAGCCAACAGAATTTCGATGTTGGATATCCACCTGGACCGTCTCTGGAAAAAACGACCATGAATTTCCGTTAGTCCAACAGACCGCTCACTAGTAATTTGCCGACACCATAACCGGCCATTGGCAGTGGTAGTGTCTGAAATAATACAAGAGCAAATCCTGGTGCCCATGTGGTCTTAGAACGACTCAGCATCTGCAGTGTCCTGGATTTCGAATCCCTTTTCCGTGGAATAAAGAATTTCTTGGATTTCTGCCATGACATCCAAAACTGAGAGCAGACGGACGTTTTCAGCTGTCACATCGTCGCGTGCATATTGCTCCTGGATCAGTTTCAGAAGCTCCTCGATGTCGCGGAGCTTGTTGAAGTAGAAGTTGCGTTCTGCTTCGAGACTCTCGGTCATGACTCGATATTCTACAAGCTCCTCCTGCACCAGCTTCCACTGCTGGGTTTTCTCCTGGAGATCACGTGCCATCTCGGCCGACGACACCCGGGAATCCACGCCCCCAGAATGCGGCAAGGTCGACGATTGTGACGCGGAATTGGCTTCCGAAGCCATTCGTTGTTTCGGTACAAAGAGCGCGTTTTGGCCAAAACCGCTTCCAGTGCTCGACACTCTGCTGCCATTTCGGGACGCCACCGCAGACGTGTTTGTACCCGAACTAGGGGTCAAAGTGGTACGTCTGGACGTGCCGGAACCAGCTCTTTCTCCCTGGCCTGAAGCGGTGCCGCCCCGGCGCCTAGCCGGCGCGTCGTACGCGATATTTGCATCTTTGTTTTCCATCCAGTGCCGCTTGAGCCACTGAAGAAGCTCCAAGTTATCCTGGAGCCTGCATCGAATAAGTCGCTCTGTGTCGATCTGCCGCGTGATTTTGTGTCTGTTGAACAGCGCCTGGAGAATCTTCATGTTGTTGCGGGCATCGTAGTCCGAGATCAGGGCACCAAACTTGACTTTGGCCATAGGCACGCCGCCATACACAGAATCCATGATCTGGCAGTACGCCGCACCCGTACCGCACTGCTCAACTTTTTTGTACTCGAGGCCAAACGCTGAATTGAGCCAGCTAAGAAGCTCGCTTCTGCTCTCTCCTATGATCATGGTGAACAATGCTGGGAGGGATTTCGAAGAACACGCACCTCTGGGATCAACTTCGAACTTGACTCTCGAAGATGGAGCTACTTGGTGAAAAGGGCCCTCTTTGCGGAGACAATTACGTGTATTAGAAGAACACTAAGTACCCTGCTGGCTCCTCCATATGGTGTTCCATGTTCCAGATGCGAGACTGTGCGACCGGGAGGCACGTGATGCGGATCACGTGATATTTGTTGGGCACGTGAATTAAGTGGAGTCGACGATTAAGAGAGGCAAGAATTTGGCTGAGGCAAGAATTTGGAGGAGACAAAGATTCAGTGTGAATTTATGTGGCTGACTTGCCCCCGCTGCTCTCCTTTTGAAGCGCCATATATGCTATGTTTTGAAGAGTCGGGCTGCCCATTCCTTGACTTGGAATGTTAGCAGAGGCACTCTGAAACCCGATGAAACCTGTATATGCCTGCACGGGCGCGGCTTGACTTGATCTGGCAACACGTGATTCGAACTAATGGTAATATGGGTGCGTCAGAATGGACTTCTAGGTGTTTCATAATCTTTTGCACGAAAGTCGACGCTATTGTGATTTGTGTTTGATCGAAGCCTCATTATATAAATCGCTTTGATTCCAAGTCGTCTTGTGTGCTTTCGGCCCAGTATTCAACCCCATCATTTCAACTCTATTGGGATACGGGTTACCCCATTCGGTATCTCAGCTAGACTAATATCTTAAAGAAGGTGAGATAAATGTCTCGCTTCTTCCCGATTTAAACAAAGATCAGTCCATGCACTAGATCTCTACTTTGTAGTATTTTTCGTCACCTGTGTACTCTGATTCTGGTTCAAGGGAACAATTCTAATGAAAGCTTTACTTCCTCTGCCGTGTCATGTGTATAAACAGTCTTGTAAACTTCTCGTATATGAAGCTTGAAAAACACTTGAGGCAACTGATGACGACCTGAAACCCTGGCTTTTGCACACTTACTCCCGGCTCAAATAGAGAAGCCAGTCAAGCTCTGACTGAATTTGAGACGTTCTGTTTGAAAATCTCTAGCATGTAACGTGAACACAATTCTCCAAGCAGGTTACATCTATTTCGCTTGCAAACTCTATCCTTCTATTCAGCGGAAAGCCAGATTTATACGAGCATTTGATGTATTGACCTCTTGCTGGCTTCCTTTTTCTTTAGATTTTTGAGTTCAACCCCGAATCAACGAGCCGTACTTTGGGCAGTAAGTTTCACTACTCAGTAAACGAACCTAAATATTTTTTTAAACTTCAGTGAATGATAATACTCATATCAAAACAAGAGTCAACTGGATGATGAATGAAACGTAAAGAGAAACTTTCAATGCAAATTGATCGTGTGTTTTCATGAGATCTCGGAAGATGGGTTTTTTTATTTTCTTTGCACTGGATGACAGGATTAGTCACGGCGCTAGTCCATCCTTTCTTATCTGTGATTTGAACGTTCATGATCATTGGACTGAAATTATTTAAAAAAATCTAAAACAACACTATCAGCACATCGAAGGAACCAAAGAGTTTCGGGTCATTAATGCAGCCATATCAAGACTAATGAGTTCCTTTTACGGTGAGCCAGGCGGATCCTCAGAATATACCCCAATTCGATATACTGTTCACACTTTGGATGCGTAGAAAGCCATTCTTCAAATTCCGGCAAATCGGTCCTGTTTCGTGTGTTTTCCCCAAATAATGTGTAACATTTGATGCTTTCCACTTCCATTCTGAGGCTTTCTCTATAAGTTTCTATAATTGAGATCCCATCAATATGAGAGGACCTATATTTGAAAACATTCCATATGATCGGTGGATAAAAAAAAATGGAAAGCAATTTGTAACAAAACCAAGGTAATGTATCCCAGGCTTAAGACGAACCACAGGACACAGCGCAAATGGTTCTGGATGAGAAAGAAACAAGGCGCCTCCTGTGGCGTGAAGCAGGATATGAATGAGACAATTTGAGGTGCTCTGCTGGTCATTAGGTCTTGACTAAGATTCTGCTAAATGGTCGCCAGTTGGCTGAAACAGACGCCTAGGAAAGCGATTGTCTCTCTTGAAGCCGGCGAATTTCGTCGACCTGTTGGTCGATTTTTTCCAAAAACGATACCTCAGCAAAGCTGATATCGGTCCGATTCTCCTCTGATCCATCTGAGGGCGATTGAGCACGGCTGGGATGCCTCAGGCATATTTGCTCAATCTGCCGAGCCACATTACTAGAGACCAGCTGATGCACGGCTTCCAACCTGTGTTGTTGGTGACGTGGAGCCGAAACCTCGGTAGCTTTCTTCAAGAATTCCTGCGTAATATGCCGCCCAATGTCATAAATATAATTAAGATCATCAAGGGGCCCCGCCCTGGTTTCTTCTAGAGCCACAGGTTCTTCATCCTTTAATTGGAAGATGTGAGAGCATAGCTTCGTCTCATCTTTTTTGTTTTCTAGGGGGCTATTACTTTCTGAGCTCTTGCTTTTTTGCAGACTGCCTTTTTCACACACATTATCGGCTTTTCCGGGGCTGTCGTTTCCGCTCAGTTTGTCATGGTCCATTGGACTGTCATTCTCTCTCGAGATATCTGCATTTTTTCCCATATCATCCTGGTCAGGCTCATCATCCTCTTGAGATGATCCCCTGTCGCTGTGATTCCTGACTCCAGAGTCTTGTTTCGTCTTCCCTATAAGGGTGTTATATTTCCACATGGTATATTGTGCGGCGCTCTCAAAGGCTAGCTTATCCGAACGAAAGAGATTTGCCAGATCCACATTCAAAGGCGAGTCTGGCTCGGGTTCATCTAGTAGCATGAGAACTGCACCCACCAAATGCTCCAAATTCCAGGCGGGCGACCACAGCTCGTCCTTCAAAATATCAAGACAAATTTCTCCCGTATCGAAGTTGATATTTGGATGAGTGATTTTCGATTCCGCCGAAAATGTTATCCGTGGCGGTTTGCTGGGATACAGCGGCGGAACGGTGATATCGAGCTCCCACTGGCCATTATAATAAAAGAGTGAGTCGTGTCTGTCTCGCTTTACTATGGTGGCAAACCATTTGAAAATGGACTCCTCGGCATCCACAGGCGCGAGTTCCAAAATCTGTGGATTGCTGCAACTGGCAGGTGTGTGCCTAAGCTGTTTGAATTCCCTAAACAAGCGTTTTTCGGCCATCAGTATGGAAAACTTGGAATATGATAGGTTTGTGCCCACTGTATCGACTGGACTTACCTTTTCAAATCTGTGAGTGCTTGAACTGTATTCAAAAAAGCACTGGAAGGAAACGGGTCTTTTGAACCGCTCTATTTTAGGTGCTGGCGGCAAGTGTTTTCGGCTTTTAGTTTTCTGGATTTCGTTTTCCAGAGACCAAAAATCCAAACAAAGTTCTGCAAAAAAAGGGAGGAATATGCGGAATGGCGTATCTGAAGTCTAAACTATGTAAGGCTCTCGGAGCAGGTTATCAGTTCTGAGACGATGCCGGATTCGGGTGTGGTTTGAAGTCCCTATCTAAACGAAGCTGTTTTTTTTTTTGTACTTTCTTTAGTCAGGTTTCCGAAGCTTGTATGCCGGAGATGCCATTTTGGCGGACACAGTGATGTATTGTGACGTCATTGGAGTTGAGGTCACGGGACTAAGCTTTGGGGGAATCGGTGATGAGTACACTTTGTCGGCCTGGAAAAAAAAGCAAGGATTTTCACAGCTGCGGACTGATTTGTATCAAGCTTCAAATTTTTTTCTTAGGCTTGTTGTCAGGTTTGTCGTCTTGACGTAGTTCTGCCCGCTTCAATGATGTAGGATCTGGCGTCAGGCTGCATCGGCTCTCACGTGCATACAGTCTCAAGAGTTATTTATAACCTATTTTCAATCTTTTTTAAATACGGGCTTTGCTCGTGAAAATCTCATAACGAGATACTCAACGGGCGGAGAACATTGGTTAATCTAAAAACATTGAGGTCAATTTCCGAGTTGAAAAATCTTTTGCTCTCTGTGCCTCAATATATGTTTCCTATCAAATTCTATGTATGTGAGCTTCGAGGCTCTTATGTTTTGGAACAGGAGAACAAGCTATGAAAGTCATAATTTTAAGGGGGATTTTTTTTTTTTCATTTTCATGTTCATGAAGCGTATTGCTGCCACCGCTTCTGTTGGAAGTTTATGGTGAATTCAGATTGATTTCTATTTAATCACTATACTGATACGCTACTTGGGCGAGCCGATTTCTTGTGCACCGTCACTTAATTGCAATGCCGGATAGCATTTGAGGATGGATGGAGTCTAGCTTTGCTTCCGAGGTCCGTAATGGTAGCAATGACAATCCGTCTTCCCTTCTCCGTTCAGAGTTTCTCGACTACCAGCATTTTCGGTATCTGTCATTGAGGCTGTTGTTATTTGCATCTGTCAAAAGCATGAAAAGTGACAGAAGAAATCCCCAAATTTCAAAGGTCATCTGCAGTTCAGGCTCCGGCCTCTCTTCAATGCGGTGCAAAAGTTTGTTGACCAGTTGAGAATCTGTCTCGAATGTAATAGGAGATAATATCATGGACGAATAATGCTAAAGAAATATGGGAGAACATCTGACTTTGAGCCTTCGTGAATCACAATGCTACAGTGTCTTACAAAAAAACGTTTAGATATTCATCTGAAGTCTGGCCAATGATGTTTACATCAAAGACTCGGCATGGCGTTCTAAGCAAGTACTTGCTGTGAAGATTTTCGGTGATTACTTCCCTTTATTTTCATAGCATCTCCGTCAACAAGATGCAAGTTCGAGGAGTGTCAAATATATGTGGAGGCGCCAATAAATATACCTCTCGAGTCCCTTGACTTTTCCACTTTCATCTCGCTAAAAATCACGAGAGCTTTTTTCAACCTAATTAATTTGGAAGAGTGCAATATGCGGACCAGTGCTTGATCTTCGTATAATAAAGAAAGCTGCAACATAAGGAGCTGAACTGGCTCCTTTACAAGTCCTCAAAAGGCTGTAACAGATATACCTAAGTGACCGACAGATACCGGTAATCTCAAAAACATGCAGCAAACACTCCGTTGTGCCATCGATGTCTTGATTATGGTCCATCCTTGGTTTATTTTAATGAAATACGGCATTCCTTCCCTTGAAATCTGCATACCTACTGGGAAGACAAAGGGTGCTCGTGCCTCGGTATTTTTCTTCTGTGTTTTAGACACGAAGCCTCTTTTGAATGAAAATTCCACTGATCGCCATGCGGACCCTAAGACGATACAAACAAGAACCCAAAACACTTCTTCTTGTCAAACTATCCATGAACATTCCAACAGACATGAAATCATAGCCAGGGAGTATGGTGGTTTTTCCCAGCAGACGACACCAATCAGCCGTTTCTACAATTGGTAGCCAATGCTACTTTTCTCGGCTCAATTGACCCGATACAGCTTTTTTAAAATGCCCGAAGTTCTACACAAATGGTCTACGCAATGCACGACGTTCTACACAAATGGTCTACGCGCTACAGCAACACAGAAAGTACCAGTGAATATTTTATTGATAGGTATACATGCCCACCACGCTTAATTCTTGAGGCCGTTGATCTTGCTCTCAAGGTCCAGCACGGTCTTCTTCTGCTCCTCCAACTTCTTCTTCAACTCCTTCAATTGCTCAGCCTCGTGCTTTTTCACATACGCGTTTTCGTTGGCGGCCTCTCTCTCCTTGAAGGAGTCTTTGCCGGTGCTGTAAGCTGCAGGTCTGGCGACAGAGAAGGTTCTGACGGCGGAAACTCTTTTGGTGATGAATTGTCTCAACATTTTCGAATGGGGCGGATAGTGGATGGTAGCTTTTTTTAAGGTGTGGGGCAGCCGGGGGATCCTGTCTTTATATACGCGACCAATGGGTGAGCGCCGTGGAAGCTCCTGTGTGCAGTACACGAAGTCTTTTGCGGGTGGCCCAGAATCCTGTTATCGGGCGGTCAACTTAAGGCTGATGTGTTCTTATTGCGGGCAGTTTTGGTGAGAGTGCAGGGAAAACTTTTGTTTTCTTAGTATCGGGTCTAGCTTCAATTGTGTTGGATGAAATCATATCCAGAGTGAGGACCCCGAATGGGCCAGCACGCGAGTACAGCAATAGACGTGATTGGGTTTGTTTATTAGCTAAGTGGCCTGTAGGCTAATGTCCTATTTCGGATGGATTCATCCACTGTTATATAAATCCGATTTCTATAAAACCTGAGGGCATTTTCCGCCAGCCTTGAAAAACCAGCACGCTTCAAGCAATTCAGCAAATCAAGTCAAGGTTTGCAATGTTTCAGTTTTCGTAGATCTGCTGAGATGGACTCGGAGCATGCACGTCCAGCCAGGATTTTAAATACATGTTTGTTCCAGAAGATAATGCTTGCCTTTTAGATTTTATTCATCTGCCGCAGATATTGGGATTTTTTCATTCACCCGTGAAAGATGGGCTCAACCAGGAGTACCAGATCGGGTGATCCTCATGATTTTGGAGTTGCTTCGGTCATCCTTGAACGATCTAATCAAGTCTTCCAGGGAATTCTGTGTCTCTTTTGGTTTTATAAAACATAACACAAAGCTAATTCACGTTCTTTTTCTCGGTTGAGACAGTATATCCATGCTCATTTGGGATGACGGCAATAGAATATATATGGGTTCACCGGCACCTGGAACTGTTCTTTTCATTCCCATCTCATTCACCTCGCTGTCGACTGTGCTTGGTTCCAATACTTGAGGCGTATGTCTTTCACGGCTTTTGCTGTTGACTAGAGCCGTGTTCAGTATACCAAAGAATGAAGAGTGTTTGCGTTATTTGCAATTATTGTTTCTGGCCCACTATCTTGCGACGCATTCAATGAAAGTCTACACCTCCAATGAATGTGTACGTCTTTAGTAAGTGTCTACACCTCCAGTAAATGTCTGCACTTCCAATAAATGTCTACACCTCCAATAAATGTCTACACCTTTAATAAATATATACACCTCTAATAAATATATACACCTCTAATAAATGTATAGCCCTTGGGAATAGTAGCTCACTCAAACTCGTAACCATGGTCCCTAATGTCTCTTGATCTCAAGAGGCTTATCAGCAAAAATCCGAACTCCCGAAGCAACCTCTGAGATCCACAACTTGCTCAGCGTATAGAACCTCTTGCAAACACAACAGTACATGTTAAACCGTCACAACTCCTAGTAGAACATTTGCAGTCCTTCTGCTAGATTCATGACTTAAAGTCAGCATCGATCCACAATCAGCAAGTCAGACCACCCAGCTCCAAACCATCCGAAACACACATCAACTGGGAGTCCAGGATGTCATGGAAAGCGAGGCTCCCTCCTTTCTCACCTAGCCTCTTTACAGCACTATGATCACAAAATTCCTTAGTTACTATATACATCACCCTACAAGATTCTTCTGGACGTGAACTTCAAGTGCTTGTTCGTGGCAGACAACAAGCCGAGCGCCACGGCCCTTTTCACAGCAATTCCCAACTTTCTCTGGTTTTTGGAGGTGCACCCCGTGATCTCACGAGGCAACACCTGGCCAGTGGAAGAAATGAAGCGGGACAAGATCTCCGGCATCGTGTACAAGTCAAGCGGGTCGATTCCATTCTTCTCAAACACATCGTTGGCACCATTCTGGTATTTGCCGTAGGCGTTGCGGTTTCTTCTGTCCCAGGTTTTCTCCATGTCGACTCTGCTCATGGAGAAGTCAAATGGATCGTACATAGTGCCCGCACGGAACTGCTTCTGGAAGGCCTTGTCAACAGCAATAGGGGGTTTTCCGGTTTCCGAAAGTTTTCTGGTAATGTCCACGACCTTCCGCGTGATGGCGTTTTCGTTGGACGAAACGGGGGACCAGGATTCGGACCTCATTTCAGGCGTTGAGGGAAGCGTTTGGGATGGCTCGTCTTGTGGCGCCGAGGAGCGCTGCGAGACAGCAAAAAAGCGCTGGTGCGTCAGTAGCCATGCCCGGGAAGCCACGGGGGTGTTTCTAGCGAGTTGTGCCAACATTGAGTGTGGATTTGTGAGGGGTTCTAAACACGCTGGCCTGGCAATGGAGCCTCAGAGTTTTCATCGTTTTCTCTTGGTGTTGTATGCAGGCGAAATCGGCCTGCTGAAGAAACACGGTGGTTCGGATGTGTTTGGTGCTCGGTAAGCCGAAGGTTTGGGCGGGAATGTTTTTTTTTTAAGTTTGTTTTTTGGTGAAATGTTTTTGTGTATTTCACTGACATATTGTGGCCTCTATCGCCATAGCAGTCTTGTTCTCAATTGGGTGCGAAGGACCTCGCCTTTTGAGATGTTAATATTGAGCCGGCCGGTTTTTGGGAGATTAAATATGGGGATGGTTGAAATGTGATTTCTGAAGCTGGCTAAAATTCCAAACTCTCAGCTCTGTCCTTTTGTGATAGTCATACGGCAATCCTTACAGGCTGATGGACCAGTGGAGCTTTAATCTCTTAGTGTAGCTTCAGTAAAGAATATGCACTTGCCATTCCAGACGCTTCCTGTGGGTCACCAAGGCTGCACGATATATTTTACTTACTCTCGTCCAAAAGTGTGTTTTTCACTATGCTTGAAGCTATGACAAATCTGGGACAGCTATGATAATTGGGCAAAACAAAAAGCATGGCAGTGGCGAAAGACTGACTTTTCGAAGAGACCCCAGACAAACTTTGAATAGGCCCTCTGTAAAACCCACACTGTCTTTCGGGAATAGCAAAGTGTTCTGTGGCTCGAAAACATTCATTCAAAAATCCTCTTAACATGATGAAAGGGATTTATAAGCTTTACAGAAAATGGTGGAATTAAACCGGAGGGTTTGTTTCTGCGTTTTCCAGAAAGATTGAGCTTCATTTACTTACTATGACTTTCTCTCCTTCCGTTATTTTATGTTTTTCTTTGACATTGTACTCTATTCTCATTTGGGGTTGCAATTATCTCTTGAAAAATATGAATTTCTGTATTTTGGGAAAATAGGGTCGGTCCAACCACTCTTTGTTGGAACGCTGTTGGCCTCTTACATTCTCAAGTGTAAGAATTAAATACCGGAAGATGCTCAAGAGTTCTGGTATTCAAAGCCCCGGTATTAGAACTAACAGCCGCTCTGGAAGCTCTCACAAAGAGGAAGAACTTGACATCATTTTTCGAATTACTGTGACAGTTGGAGAAACGAACTATATTTTAATTCCAACTATCAGCCTTCTCAAATAATCAAGCGCACTTCAACCCTGACATCAAAGAAGGAAACAAACGAGAACAGACACTTTCTATGAAGTGAACCGCTTGATTTTACCACTCAGTTTTCTTTCCCACGATACTCTTCCAATATCTGCATGAATAATGGGCATGATGTCGGGAAAATGTCGAGTCATGCTACCCAAAGTCACGTGACCATGAACATCTGGCCGACGGAGACACCCAAGGCAATAAAAGAGATATTGCGGCAATAAATTAGCAAGATCAAATAACATCCCGTTGCTGGCAAAGACTAGAATCAGAAGCTGGATTGAAAACAGGGATGAAAATACCACTCAAACTATCAATCGGCCAATCAAGCTACCTATCGAACCACCAATGAAATTCCCAATGAAATTAGCGAGACCGGTCGGGCAACAAACTGCCATCTGCGCAACATGCCCGTTCCAAGGCCGCGCGCACATAGTCCAGTCCTGCACATGGCCGCCGGCCCTCGATCGTCTGTGGTGGGCCATGTTAACTCTGGGCACTCTATTTGCATTTTAAAGCTCCATTCTTTCGTCTACTGCCCTGCTGCTAGCGAAAGAGATATCTGTGAGCAAAACACCAGCAGCGACGCCCACGCAAACCCGTGCCTCCCTGTCCTGGACGAATTTTCCCGAGCTTTCTAGCATAGGAACCCGAGCAGAAAAAAGATACCTCCACGACGGCATTTTTTGTCATCTGCCACCACTCAGAAATCTGGCCCAAACCGGCCTCTTTTCGCTGTTCGACCCAACTGGCATCAAAACCCCGAGGGAGATTTTGCAAAACAAGCCACACAGTGTCTTTTGGCCCGTGTCGGTAATTCATTTCGAGACACATACTAGCCGCCGAGGGTCCTTCAAAACGCCCCCAAAACCACCAAAAAACGCCAAGAAGCAACCAAAACACACCACATAGGCCAAACACCTAGGCTTTGTGTAAACGCATTCTTACAACCACACACAACACAAGCATGAGCGACCGCGGCCCCGACCAGTGGTTGGAGCAGATCAAGAAGTGCGAGGCGCTTTCTGAAACAGACATGAAACAGCTCTGCGAGCTCGTCAAGGAGCTCTTGATGGAGGAGCTGAACATCCAGCCCGTGCAGTCGCCCGTGACAGTCTGCGGTGACATCCACGGCCAGTTCCACGACTTGTTGGAGCTTTTCAAGATCTCCGGCGGCTTGCCCCTGGAAGACAACTCCACCAGCTTCATTTTCCTCGGCGACTACGTGGACCGAGGCTATTTTTCGCTCGAAACATTCACGCTTTTGATGGTCTTGAAGGTCCAGTTCCCGCACCGCGTGACGTTGGTGCGTGGCAACCACGAGTCCCGCCAGATCACCCAAGTGTACGGCTTCTACGACGAGTGCTTGACCAAGTACGGCTCCACGACAGTGTGGAAGTACTGCTGCCAGGTGTTTGACTTTCTCACGCTCGCGGCCATCATCGACGGCAAGGTGCTCTGTGTGCACGGCGGGCTTTCGCCGGAGATCCGCATGTTGGACCAGATCCGCGTTTTGAGCAGGGCCCAGGAGGTGCCCCACGAGGGTGGATTCTGTGACTTGGTGTGGTCGGATCCCGACAACATCGACACCTGGGCGGTCTCGCCCCGCGGAGCCGGCTGGCTCTTTGGCCTGAAGGTCAGCCGCGAGTTCAACCACATCAACAACTTGGACTTGATTGCACGGGCCCACCAGTTGGTTATGGAGGGCTTCCGCTACCACTTCAAGGAGAAAGACGTGGTCACCGTGTGGCTGGCGCCCAACTACTGCTACCGCTGCGGCAATGTCGCCAGTGTCATGCAGGTGGGGCACGAGCCGGAGCCCAACTTCAAGATCTTCTCGGCAGTACAGGACGGCGACTTGGCCGCCAAGAACAACCAGAGCAAGCAACAGCGCATCGACTACTTCTTGTGAGCCGGTCGGCGCATCACGACTAACGTTTCCGACACTTGTATTCCTTTCTCCTTCTCGCACGGCATACTGGCATCGACCCCCGGTGGCCTTTCTTTGATGCTTTTTAATTATTTGTACGACATGAGTACCGACCTACATATACAATGAACACCCGCGTGGCAGCCCAACGAGTGTTGCAGCTCGGATGTTTGTATTCAGCTACATATGCTGATCGTCGGCCTTTCTCTGTGGCATTATTCATGAGCTAGAATAGTTTTCTGCTTGATGTCTCAACTAAGGGTCTTCTGTCTTTCAGGGGTTATCGTGTCTTTTCACTAGATAGGTCAACAGAACATTTATCAACCGTACTTTTTATGAATTTTCAAAGCTTTGTGTTTGTAAGTATGGCTCGTTCTTCATTCTCGTAGAACTCTGCTGGGAACACAATTTTTGAAGGGTTCACCTTTTCGCCTTGATGAGCCCTTCTTTTTCACTTGAGTGTATATCGCAATCAGAGGCATTTTCAGGACCGAAAAGCTAGGTAGTTGATGAGTTTTTCAATTATCCAAGTCTATTCACTAACTTCTGTTTAAAGATTGTGCTGTTCCCGGATAACATCTTAGTGGTGATCTTGATAAAACTTCCCCCTGCTTCATTTAAGCTAGCAGCTCAAAAATACCAATTTCAGGGAAGTAATAAATCTCCGTTTCACATTTTGCACATATCGAGGCATGAATAAGTCTTGGAGCTAGTTTTGATTCCCTTTGTGAGCTTTTCTCAGCAATATTGATTGCGTTACTCAGACCCATTTCAAATTGAGTAAGGTCTTATTAAATGAATATATCTTTTTTCCTGAAGTCTTTCAAAAAAGAAAATGCAAGTTAGTATATATGTTCCACAAGAAAATGTCAGCTCTTGACATCGCAGGCTCGTCTTATCCATCTCCAAAAGAGATGAAAATTGGAAGTTATCCCAAGCTTTCCGTTCATTGCACTCTCTTCTCGCTCTTTCCAGGATTCCCAGTCTTACTTCTTTTCCTCTGTCATCTTTCAAAAAGTGTGCTTTATGATTTAATACACGTCAATTCCGAAGCAGAAGATTCAAACAAAGTATGTTAATTAACATATTAATGCGTCTAATTTACAACACACCCTCTAAAATTACATCAACCTTCCTCTTCCGATTTGAAAGTTGCTGGGAGGCAGGGTTTTGGAATTTTGAATATTTACGCGTAATACGAAGGACCGTAGTCAGCCTCGGCTTCAGCAAAAGCTTCTTGAAATATGAAAGATAGAGTTTTCTGCTCTATGACTGTCTAGAATTTGAGGGACCTTCAGGAGTTCAATAGCCTCATGTCAGTAGTGATTCTGAGCTCTTTATGAACAAACTTTTGGAAAAGTCAGGATTTGAATGATCTTAATGAGAGCTCAATGCTTCAAAAACGCCTACTGTTCTCCACCCGGCCCGTTTCTTTAGATTGGCAGACACTTTTGACACGGCACAAACCCCTTCCAATACACGAGCAAATTCAGGAAACGTTGTACCCCTTTTGCACTTCAATTTTGTTGGTGTCTATAATCCCATATTCAGTTTCCTGTAAGATGGTGACTATCTGCAATTTTTGCAATCACTATGTCACATATCATCCGAGCACCAGGTTTTGCAGGAGCTCATGTGAAACATGTGGTCACATGTTGGTGAGCCCTCCAATCTCCCCTTGCGGGCCGCATTCTTCTCTTTGTATTCCGTGTCGTCTTTCCAGAAAAGTATGTAAAAATGTCGGTGCCATGAAACCAGAACATAAGAAGCTACGCTACGCAAGAGGCGCACTTCATAAGTCATAGGAATTTCTGCCGCGTTCCAAACTTCCAGTCGAAGACAGGCCCTCCAAAAAAAGGACCTAGACTGGCCCTCCAAGAACAATACCTAGACTGGCCCTCCAAAACCAGGCGCATGTATGCAGAGGCCGTGTTGAAACAGGCAAATCTAGTTCTTGCCCTTCTTGCCCTTTCTCTTACGAGCGATGATATGCTTCACGTTCTCCGCGATGGACTCGCCACTTGGCTTGGTGGGTTCCTCGCTCGGTGCGGGCTTGGGGCCCTTGTTCATGTTACCCTTTCTCGAGGGGCCCTTGCCCTTTTTCGGCTTCTTGGAGGCCTTGTCGCCCTTGTCGGTCCTGTCACCGTCGTCATCTCTCTTTCTCTTGTTGTGACGAGACACCATTACAAGCTCCTTTCTGCGCTTGACGACCTTGGCGTTTTCAACGGCAAACTCCACAATAAGCTTCCGCTTGTTGATGCCCTCCAAGTCGGCAACCTTCTTCTCTTCTTCAGACATGCTCTCGGTGATCTCAGCAACGGTTACCTCGTGGGCGTTCAACCACCGGAGCCCCATCAACGCGGTCTTGTGGTCGCGGAATTCAATGAAACCATAGCCTCTGGACCGGCCAGCCTCGCCGCTGCCCTTGACCTCCATGATGATCTTGGACTGCCTGACCACACCAAGCTTCTTATTGTTCTTCTTTTCCTTCTCGTCCTCGGCCGGCTTGTCGCCGTCCATGTCCTGCTTGTACTTGATCGAACGGTTGACTTCCTCCTTGGAAAGCGGCTGTCTCTGGTTGTTTTTGACCTCGGTGGCGAACTCCACCACGGCCTTCCGGCCCAAGGCCTTCAAGGCCTTGCTGGTCATGGCACGCGGAAGGTTTCTGACCGCCAATCTGGTCAACGAAAGATGCAAGGATGGGTTCTTGTTCAACTGCTGCACGCGCATCTTGTACGACTTCTCTCGTATCTCCATGTCGGCCTTGGAAATGCGCTCCGCGAGCTTGGAGTTCTCGGTGATGCGGCCCTCGTTCAACAAGTACAAGTTTCTCTTGTCCTTGTCGCCGGTATCCTTGCCTAGCGCCTGGCTCCGCTTCTCCGAGTTTCTCTCTGCAAGACGCGACGCCGAGCTGCGGTCCACCGTCGACGCAATCGACAAAATTCGGCCCTGGTACACGTACTCTGGCGCGACGTCGTCGGAAATCAACATGGAGGTGGCCGAGACCGCGGGCGCATCGGCCAAGCACAACTCGTAGGCCTCGGCATTCTTGAAAGCGACAAACGCAGATCCCTTGGCCAAGCCTGTGGCCCTGTCCATGACTGGGAGCGCATACTTCACGGGCCCAAACTGCGCAAAATGCTCCTTGAGCGAGTCGGCGTCCGCGTCGTAGGGAATGTTGCGCACAAACACAGAAAACGCCTCCTGCTTGTTCTGCTTGGGCCTGTCTTCTTCTTCCTCCTCGTCGGAGTCCATTTCCTCGTCCAGATCCTCGCCCGACTCCGGAACCTCGGCGTCGGAGTTGATCTCATTGAGCTTGTCGAAATCCTCGTCTGCCTCGCCGTCCTCGTCCAGGTCCTCGTCATCGTCCTCGTCATCGTCTTTCTCGGTTTTAGGTGCCTTCAGCTCGCTGTCCTTGGACTTCCTCTCTCGGGCAGTGGTCTTGGGCTCCGTCTCCTGCACCTTCTCCCACTGGGACTTCTCCACGGCCAAGTCGACCGCCACCTCACGGCCGTCGATTTTCAAGCCCACGCTCTCCTTGACGGCGCGCTCCGCAGCCACGTTTTTCTTCATGATCACGAACGCAAAGCCGCGCATCAAACCACCCTTTTTCGTGGGGATGTACGCGTCGTGCACGGCCCCGAACCTCAGGAAAAGCTTCTTCAAGGTTTCGGGACTCTTGCATGTCCATGGCAAGTTTCTGACAATCAAACGTGCCTTTCTTTTTTCCACGGGCTCTCGGGCGATTTTAGGCTTGGTGCTCTCGGGCTCGGCGCCGTCGTTCTTGGCGTTCTTGGCCGCCTTGCGCTCTCGCCTCTTGGCAATGTCCACTCGGAGAAAACGGCCCTGGAACTTGTGTTTTTTGGCCTCCACCAACGCCGTGAGCGTGTCCTCGTCTTCAGTGAACGAAACAAACCCGAAACCACGTGACTTCTGCTGGTCGTCATTCACGATCACAGCATGCTTGACAGGCACAAACTGCGAGAAGTACTCCGAAAGCTCGTCGCTCGTGGCACTCTCGGGAACACTGCGCACAAACAACGTTCTTCTATCTAAAGTCTCGTCTTTGATGGAGGTAGAGTTTTCAGTAGCCGGAGAGGCGAGCTGAGTATTTTCGGCAGGCACGGCCGCTGCTGGGCCCGTGGCAGTATTCGTGTTTTCCTGCGCCTCGGACATTTCTGTATGTGGCTTCGTGCGGTGGAATGTCTGAAATAGGTCCTTTTTCTGGTACCAAGATGGAGGCCCGAGTGCCTGAGATGAGCCAGACTGCGAAATTTCGTGGAGCATGCAGTGCCGGCATCTTGATGCGTGTGTGCAGGCGCAGCGAGCCAGGGCCACAACGCTTTTGCTGTTCTGTCCATCCGTACAAGACACCTAGGACAATTATTGAAAAAGAATAAAGCATGGTAATCCCTCGAGGTCGGGACTCGGTGAGACTTCTTTCTTTTAATGATTTCCCAGGTGCAGGTTCGATTGTACCAACGGGCCGATTCTCAATCGGAGACGCGGATGGCCAATTTGATGAATAATCTGAATATTTCTGGGTGGCCAGCAACACTGTGCAAAATGTCCACGTATTTTTCTCGTTAGGAAAAACGTGCGATCTTTGCGTGCTCTGTTCTAATGAAACATGACAGTCTTGGAGAGCCGTTCCGATTGGACCCAGATCACATTAATGAGCACGACCCGACTCTTCCGTGATTGCCACTGTGCTAACGAGTATATTATTCGTTATGCACAGAATGTAACACATGTCCCATGTCTCGTTGGCCCGGAAACAATGAGACGAAATTCCGCGGTCCAAATCGTCGGGTCGTAAAGCATAGCTCACAGCCTGCCCCACTCAAATGTGCGTGCAGCTCAGTTAATCACACCAGATATTGCATTCTTTTCCAAATACCGGCCCAAGCAACAAAACCATCAGGTGCAAAAAAATTCACACAAAATCACACGCTCTTGTCCAAGCAACAATTGTTTATCTCCATAAGTATCACCCCGTAGTTGTCTCGCTTGTATGCACACCTCTCCAAAACAATAAATAGCCGAAGATGCGCATCACAAGACCAAAACATCACTTCCACGATACCATTAAACACTGCCGAGATCAAGACACATCAACAAAGCTGAGACACCTTCTAGCCACTGCACTTGCATACAGACTTTCATCAGACATTTTTATCGGGAGCGGATCCTCCTTACTGTCATGGCACAGCCCACGCGTGGAGGAAAGATAGGCCGAAATAGGCCTCTGGCAAAACACAGAAACATCTTGCCCAACACATACGTGCCCGTATATACAAAGAAGGTACTCTCTGCGGTGCTCGGCAGACTTGCCAAGTCCAGCACCGTGGCCTTGGTGCTGCTTTGGCCCACACTAAAAAACACCCAGCCCGTGCGGCCGGAACACATCGTCATGTCACAGGCAGACATCGTCATGTCACAGGCAGACTTCGCCCGACATGTGCGTGACACGGCCAAACAAATGAAAGCTAAGAAATGGACGAAGGCGAAAATCATCGACACCATTCTTCTCGATTTCTGGCCCCTGGGGCTCAACCTCCTCCAGCTTGCGCAGGTCGATTGCCAGTTGATTGTAGACAACCCCAACGCGTATTTCTGGGTGCTGTCGACGGTGAAAGATGCCTGGGACAAAGAGGTGCCCATGCTGCTCGACCCAGCACTGTTCTTGGACCGGCTTGCGGCTCAGTTGAGTAACCTCTTCATGTCGTACATCTACGTGTGCAGGCACCCCACGTTCCCACTCGTCCTCATCCGAATCCAGGTCTTCGACCTTGCGCCAAACTCGGGCAAACCGCAGGGCAAAAAACTGCAAGTCACGCAGCCACACATTTCTTCGCATAGACCATATTTCTTGGCCGTTCCTATGAATTCCCCCCACCTAATACACTCACCTGGAGACGACCTAGTCTCTCAGACCGTTTTGCAGGTGGTCGAATCGAGCCTTGCTCGGGGACCATCACAGGCCTTGCATTTGGAAACATCTCTGCACCAGAAGCCGATTCGGTCCTTGCATTCAATGCAGATCTTGAAGGGCAGCTCCAGATTTGCACATAGTTTGGGGCCCTGGGCCCCTTACGCCGATGGAGCGGCGGACATATCCCCTCTAGCACGGCATGAGCACCATCTGGCCGTTAAAAGCATTACATCACGAGCAGAAACCTTCACAACAGACGAGCAAAAGCTCCAGAAACTAGCCAATGTTCGATTCAAGGGCACGCTTTCCGGAGAGATCGTCTCCCAGCAACTATTCGACAACCCGAGAGCCTCAAAGAAAAGGAAAGTAGTTGCGGAACAAGATGATGCGGAGACTCCTCGCACGAAAACCCCCTATGCATCACTCGCTCCAATTAGCATTGCCGAATTCGAGATTCAGGAACCCCTAGAGGACTCGGGGCCCTCTAAATCAGACACGGCGACTTCTCATGTGAAGATCAAGTTTGTCGGCATAGACGTATTTGCTGGCATGCACGAGCTTTCAGTAAGAAACACCGATCTGAGGGCGTCTTTCATAGATCTAGAGACATTGCCAGGATGGCTCACGGGTGAGGAAGGCGAGAGCTGTGGGATTGTACGAAACGGCGTCTTCTGCGCCAGAGACCCATAGCTTGCGCGTGTGGATGGACCATTCATACCCCCAACCGGTTCAAGTACGACTTTATAGCATCCAAGACATTAGCATCTTCAGCTTGCAAACCTTTCTGTATCACGAGTAGGAGTTCAGCATCTTTGTTGTTGAAAGCTTCCTCTGCTGCCAGGATCATGTCTCCGTTTCTCATGTAGAGCTTCACCCTCTCGGAATAGTTGATTTCAGAGCAATACTTGATGTATGTCGAGACATAATGCCTAGGGCAGTCGAACACCAAACAAGTCTCGACTATTGTCTCGAACCCAATGGGCGACTTGTACACTGCAGCGTTTGAGTTGGCTTCGACAATGAACCTGTTGAGTCGATCGAACTCCCCCGAGTGACAGTACAAGTCCAACACTAGGTTCCAGAACTTTGTTTGCGGTATCTTGAAATCTTTGACGACCTTGGCGGCTGGCTTGAGTTGGTACATCTTGATGAGCCGAGAGATGATGGCGACGACCGAGGGTTCCCCGAAGAAAGACTGTTGGAAAGTATTGGAGAGTCTGTAGCGAAGCTCTAGCGTGCTGAGTTCTGCCTGCACGACGGGCCTTAGTTTTCTGTTATCGGCCAAACGGGATAGCTCGCGCTTTTGGGATTGATACACCTCCGAGTACTCCGACGGGCGCTCAGGCTCGGGCATGCAGGCCCCGTACTCTTCCAAGCGGAGCACATTGAGCTCGGTGGATCGTCCAGCATTGGTGTAGAATTCCTTGAGGAGCGCGGGGTCGTGCTTGGCGGTGGACTCCTTCCACAAGTTGCCAATGAGGTTGCCGCTGACGTGCAACTTGTCCTGGAAGAAGTGCTTGATGCGGTCGTCCTTGAGGAGCTCCCGGACAGGCCCCTCGCGGAGAGCGTCGGGCACTTCTGTCTGGCTCAACACGCGCTGGAACGCGGCGGCAGAGAGCGTGTCTTTGAGATGGCGCAAGATCAAGACACACAAGTCGTAGTTGCATGTCTGGAAGCACTTGCGCAAGGCCAAGTCGAGCTCGTCGATCTCAAGGAGCATGGCGACCTTGCGCGTCGGCGCCGGCTCGAGGCAGGCGAGGAGCTTGCATAGATCGGGGCGACCCTCCTGGAGCGCCACGTCAAAGATGGCGGCGATGGGGATGAGGTTGCGGGGCGCGACGCCGTTAGTAGCGGAGCCGCGTGCCGCGAGCAACTTCTTGGCGACGACGCGGAAGAGCTCGAGGTCGGGCATGGCGCGCTCGGTGCGGATCTTGCAGCAGCACCAGTGGACGTAGATGGGCGGCGTGCATGCGTGCAAGCCCAAGAGCCCGACCACGCGGAGCGCGAGCCAGTGGAGCGAGCGGGCCAAGAGCATGTCCACGACGGCGGGCCAGCCGAGGGCCACGAGCTGCGCGTGGGAGAGGAAGAGCGCGACCTCGGGCGTGCGGAGCTGGTTGAGCACCTTCAAGGTGTTCACCACGCGCACGTAGCTGTCCGCGTCGTAGCCGCCGTCCACGTAGAGCTTGCCGAACGAGGCGGCCTTCAAGAGCGCCTTCTGGCGGCGGGGCGAGAACTCCTCGAGCGCGGCGGCCAAGCAGCCGTCCACGGCGTCCACGAGCAGGCCCTCGGCCCGCAAGAGCGCCACGCCGGAGTCGGCCTTGGACGCGTGGTGCGCCAACTTGTCCACACAGTCGAGCAACACGCGCGCCGGGTGCGCGGAGCCCACCAGGAACACGCGGACCGAGGCCGCGGGCACGCGCGCGAGGAACTCGACCTTCCTGCTGGTGATGATGGTCACGCCGTCGGGCCGCGGCACGAGGAGCGGCACGGTGAACGGCGCGGGGCCGGCGGCCGCGGGCGGCGGCTGGTCCTCGGCGTCGTAGAAAAACGACACCAGGCGCTGGCCCGGCGCCACGAGCTTGACCTCGTCGCGCAACGAGAGGATGAGCGCGTCGCTGGCGGCCCACTGCATCAGGTACGGCACGCTGGACTCGTTGGACGTGTCGTACTCGAGGAGCATGGCGTCGAACGCCGCGGACGCCACGTAGACGCGCTGCGTGTGCGCGTTCAAGAGCGCCACGAGGCGGCCGTTGGCCAGCGCCGCCACCGCGCGGAACGGGCCGGCCGTGAGTTGCTCGTCCGCAAACTCGTACGTGGCCCGCGCAAAGTCCACCCGGATCGTGTACACGGTGTGCGCGTAGCTCATGACGCACGTGAGCGCCTGCGGCGCCGCCAGCACCACGCCCACCGCGTGCACCTGCTGCAGCAGCAAGCTGGGGTACGGCACCTCGAACGCCCGGAACGACGCCGTGTGCATGAACGTCATGCGGTCCTCGTAGCGCACCATGAGGTACGCGCCCCACACGTCCGCGGCCACCACGGGCCGCGGCGCCGCGGCCGGCGCGTCCTCGAGGCGGGGCACCACGTACTTGAAGCCGCCCGTGCCGGGCGTGCCGGCCATGCGCTGCACGCCGTCTACTAATGAGTACTCGTCGAACGTGCCCCACAAGTCCGAGTACACACGCACGGTGCCGCTGGCGAGCACCACGCAGAGCCGCTCGGCCGCAAACACAAAGTCCACGATGTGGTCCTGCGCGCCGGCCGGGTTGTGCACGAGCGTCCATAGCTTAGAGCCGCTGGCGCTGTAGATGGCCACCACGCTGGGGTGCGCCACAAAGCGCAGCGCCACGGCCACGAGCGACGCGCTGGCCAGCACCCTGACGCGGTAGTTCAGGGGGAGGTCCTCGAGGTCCCACGTGGGCGGGTCGAAGCAGGGGCGGAGGCTGTAGTAGACATCCTGGAGCTTCTGCCACGACAAGCTGGGGTTGGCCATTGGCGGGGCGGCGGGCGCGGGAATGCAATTCCGCGCGCGGCTATAGAAATGTAAGTATGGTTCCGGGTCGCTGGCCGGAGAAAAAAGGGGGGTCTACTTACAAACAACGGCGGTGTGCCTGGGGTCCATGGGGTTAGCGCTGGTACACGGATGGTTCGGTCGGCACGCGGCTAAGTCCCGCGCGTCACGTGCCGGCTGTGTGCAGGCCGCCGCGAGCGGCGCCCGGCTTGTCTGGCTCGTCTGGCTTTTGGCCTGCTGGGACTCTTGTGCCGTATTGGAGAGCACTGCAACAAAGCGCTGGAACTGAGTTGCTGGAAAAATTGGAACTGCGTTGATAGAGCAAGTTGCTGGGATTGTATTTCTGAAATAGAGCAAGTCGCTGGATCTGAATTGCTGAAATTGAGCGTCGCTGGAACTAGATTGCTGAAATAGAGGCACTGGATCTGAATTGCTGAAATAGACCAAATCGCTGGATCTGAATTGCTGAAACAGAGCAAATTGCTGGAGCCTCATTACTTCAATAGAGGCTAATCACTGGAACTGCCCTGCAATTGAAGGCCCCTGACTCCCAAAAGCCAAGCTGCTCTTTCCGTCACCAAGCACAATCGCTGGCTTCTCTCTACTCCTGAAAATAGACTGCGGGACACGGTAAGTCTCCCCTCCATCACCGGAAACTCACTGTGATCTGCCCAAAGGTGATTCGCTGTTGCTTCAACAAAACAGCAAATCCAGAACTCTTCACGAAAAAGGTGCTTTTCTTCGGATTTCAGTACCTCCACAACTCTCTAGCAGGTTAACGTCGTGGCCCAAAGTCGCCATCATGGACAGCACGTACGTCACGCTCGTGTCCAGCGAGGGCTTCCGCTTCGTGGTTCTCAAAGAAGTGGCGCTGATCTCGCCAGTGCTCAAAAGCTCGCACGAATTCGAGGAGGGACGGACCGGGGTGATCAACTTGGACATGGACGCCGAGAGCCTCGACGTGGTGGTGGACTATCTCCACTACCACCACAAATACAGAGAACAGGCGGATTCGGAGGCCGTGCCCGAATTCAAAATCCCCACGGCGCTTGCCTTGGAGCTCTTGGTGAAGGCTGATTTCTTGGACATCTAGATGGCCTGTGGCTGGGGAAGCTATGGGTGCGGATGTGCTCTGTCTCTGTGGGCCGGTTCTTTCGCTTTCCTGGAATGTACCGGTTTGTAGGCTCGAGCTGTTTCTGTACATCAACTGCTTTCATCAAACTGTCATCAAACTGTCATCAAACTGTCATCTAACTGTCATCTAACTGTCATCAAACTGTCATCTAACTGTCATCTAACTGTCATCAACTGCTTTCATCTAACTGTCATCAAGCTGTTTCCCATGCATGGGCACCGGTGCATCTGTCGGCGAACCTTTCTTCTCGCCAAAGGCATGGTCTTGGCTCGCCAAAGATCATGAAAACAAAATATAGACGGTGTTTTTCGTGGATCGAGACCCGCCCAGTGCCATACGCCTGGTCTGACATCATATAAACAAGCTTGAATGCACGTATTCCCTCCTACGCATGCCTTATTTAAATCTGAAATCAAAGACAGGTATGCGGGCTGGCTTCTGATGCGCCTTCATTGTTTCTGTCTCCTTGTATGTCCCTTGCGTTTGAAATGTGCCGCACTCCTTATCTCCATTCTCCGGCCTGTCCTGTAATATGTAAGGTTGTGAATTGAAGGTTATTGGGTATATCCAATTGTGGCGCTTCAAGGGCCATCAGTCTGACTGTACTTGTCAGCTGCAAAATCAGTTATATGTTCGGGCAAGTGATTACGATATGAAGCATGCTCAGCCCGAAGTCGAAGATTTGCCTCCAAACTTCGGATGTTGATTGTAGACCATGGGTTCTTGGCTTTGACCTCTATTACTTCCGCGCATATAGACTTGTATCAATCGTGGGCTTGACTCGTCCGTGTTTTCAACCCTCTGGAATGTGGTGCTAAAGATTAAACTTCACCACGGGGTATCAGGCCTCACGAAAGCGTCAACTAAAAGACGGCAGAGAAACTGTGACACGCACTTTGTCTATAACTGAAGTAGCCTGGTGCTGTCAATTGATTTGCAACTTCCTATTGTTATACTTTCATGGGATGTCTCGTCCTCTGTGGCGAAAAGCGTGTTTTTCCAATGCACTCAATGTATTACTTCCGAATAATCATTTTCGGTACAAACCTCCGCTTTTCATTCCCGAGGCAAGTGTAAGTGGTGCGCTGGCAGATGCGGTCTGGCTCTTTGCAGTAAAGCCTCGATAAGCTTCACACATTGCACTTTCATTCTATACTAGTCAGCTATATGTTTGGCATCCAACTCTTGAAAGTGGTGCGAGCCTGTTTGAACAAGCAGCACACGCATGCCACCGACAGCATCATACAGTTGAGCGGCACCTGCAAAGAATGTGAGTTGCCTCAATGTAGTCTTTGTGCTCTATAAAATGGCGGCGTCCGTGATTATTGGTATATGCATTTTGTTCCACTTCGAAAGCTCAACAATAATCTCGAGAAGCTTGGGTGTCGTTCAGAGATCCCGGGGATTCAGGCTCTTGGTGGCGACAAAAAAGACATGGTCATACCAGGAATATCGTCTCCCAACATAAGAAAGAGCGACTGCCCTGCCATGAACGGTATCTTCTTCACAGTTTGCATCATTTTCGATGGATAAAGTCTTGCGTCAACATCACATAGAAATTGAACTGCCTGTGTTTCTAATCTTGTCGACAAACCACTCCAACTCAAGGCCCTCTGGTGTCAAAATGACTTTTTGACTCGTTTGAATACTCATTTCCTCTTCAAGGAAGTGGTTCACATTTCATTGAAGGATTCATCCATGGAGCCGTATGTAAGTTTTGGCTTTGATAAAGGAACATGTTTAAAGATGCAGGGCAATCTGGCGAGCCCAGATTCAGACGTTTTTTGAAGAACTTTGTGTTCGGAGTTCAGGCCAGTTAAATTGTTGGATTTTTCTTGAGAGCTCTCAGGCCCATGGGACTGAGATGTCTCTCTGGGTTTTTCTGTCTTATGACACCTATCTGTGCTGTGTGAATTCTCTGCCATCTGGCACCTCTCTGTTTTGGGATTTCTTGCCTTTTGGCTCTTTGTGTCCTGGGATTTCTTACCTTTTGGGATTTCTTGCCTTTTGCCTTTTGGATTTCTTGCCTTTTGGATTTCATGCCTTTTGGAAATCTCTGTCTGGGACACATCCAAATTATGCACCTCTTTGTCTCCTGGGATTTCTTGCCTTTTGGGTTTCTTGCCTTTTGGAAACCACTTATCCAAGTTACGCACCTTTTTGTCTCCTGGGGCTAGCAATTGCAACAAGACACGGCCCAAGAACAACAATCGCAACAGCAGACGCAGCAGGAGACGCAGCAATCGCAACAACAGGCTTACCAGCAACAGTACGAGCAGCAAAGAAACGCCAACTCCAGTCAAGGATTCGACTACTACAGCCAGTTCCAGCAGACTCAGCAGCAGTCCCACAACAAGCCGCTGCCGGCACCCTTCCTGCTCAGTTTGGCTACCCATCATTTGACTACTCTGCGTACGGCCAAGTCAACCAGACTCCATTGGGATCCATGGCTTCCCCAGGCTACTACCAGGTGAACACCGCGAAGACGGCCATTCCAAGCGCTGCTTACCCCTTTCCACTTGTTCTTTCAAGCCGAGAACACTGCTTATGTACAATGGACTGGATGGAGCGACGCGATGGTCTAGAAGACTCTGTATTGTTGTTTCACCCACGTATAGTAGACGCCGATCACGGTTTGATTGCCCATGCAGATCAAACAGCACGGCTCAATCACCCATCGGCTTTTGCCTCAAAAGTCATTGGAAACCCAAACAGTTCAAACTCAGGATAACATGTCAGTTGAGCCCCGAGAAAGCGAGAAGGGCCAGGAGGGAAGATGCGTTTCCCCACGTGAAAAGGACAATGCATGCTTCCCACTACCGGGGGCCTAGTATTACAGGATAAAAGACGAAGTTTGCCTGGCCATCACACCGTTCGCTTTCCCTCCGTATATCTTTTGCAACGCTGCCGCAGGTGCAGTAGCAGGCGCCCGTAGCTGCCATATCTCTGCGAGTTTTATGATTTTTGTTGTTTTTTGTTTTGTTTTTGTTTTTGTTTTTGTTTTGTTTTTTGTTTTTTTTGTTTTCAAAGGCCGGCTCCAAATTTACCGGCGATTGTCTCCGCTGTCTCTGGCCCTGCTGGCTTACGTTGGAGGCTCTGCAGATCCGGGCCCCAGCTTCAATTAATTGCTGGGTGCGCGGGCCCCGAGAATGCGCGAGGTGCGCTCGGGGCCTCGCTTCTCCAGCGCCGTCCCAAATTACCCCAGCACTGACATTCTTTTCCTCCATCCTTGTTTGTGGTGACTTTCTCCAGACCGGCGATCCAGCAGTCAGCAAGAGTATGTCACACCCAACCAGGGCCCGTCCGGAAAAGCCTGTCCATGTGAGCCCTCCAAAAAGGGCCCACTAGTAAAAGTCCACTAATAAAGCCAACTAGTAGAGCCCGCTGATAAAGCCCACTAATAAAACCAACTAATAAAGCCCACTAGTGAAGCCCACTAGTGAAGCCCACTAATAAAACCAACTAATAAAGCCCACTAGTGAAGCCCACTAGTGAAGCCCACTAATAAAACCAACTAATAAAAGCAACTATTAAAGCCCACTAATAAAATCAACTAGTAAAGGCCCGCTAATAAAGCCCACCAGTAAAAGCCGACTAATTAAGCCCACTACTAAAAGCCCACTACTAAAGGCCCGCTAATAAAGCCCACTAATAAAAGCCCACTACTAAAGGCCCACTACTAAAGGCCCACTAATAAAGTCCACTATTAAAGCCAACTAGTAAAGGCCCGCTAATAAAGCCCACTAATAAAACCCCGCTAATAAAAGCCCACTAATAAAGCCCACTAGTAAAGCCCACTAATAAGGCCCACAGT